ATCCTCTGCCCAGAACTTATTCTTTTATTTCATTTATTTACAAGTCTGTATCCCACCTTTCCTTTCAGGAGCCTGAGGTGGTGTATAGGGCTCTTTCCCTTTCTTTATATTGTCACAGATCTCGGGCAAGTTACTTTTCAATCTTCGTTCTCTTGGATGCTGGCAGTTCTGTTTATCTCCGCTTTAAAAAACGCACACATGCAGTCTCTTGGCACACAAAAAGGAGGCAGTCGTAGCAGAACACTTGAAAAAATTATTTTCTTTTAAAAGGACTTGTCCATTGCCACTATAGGCATACATTGTGGGCTGGAAGATACCAAAGGAAGCAAGCTTCACAAGCCTATTGGGCTGCAGCAATTTTCCTTCTTAGCATTTACAGTGGTACCTCGGGTTAAGTACTTAATTCGTTCTGGAGGTCCTTTCTTAACCTGAAACTTCTTAACCTGAAGCACCACTTTACCTAATGGGGCCTCCCGCCTTTCACCGTCGCGCAATTTCTGTTCTCATCCTGAAGCAAAGTTCTTAACCCGAGGTAATATTTCTGGGTTAGCGGAGTCTGTAACCTGAAGCGTATGTACCTGAAGCGTATGTAACCCGAGGTACCACTGTATGTCATGCGGCAGTACTCCTACGGCACAGGCAAACGCTGAGAGGCATTTGAGCTTATTCTGACACGGAGATCACGCACGGCTGCCAAAGCAAGTGGAAATTGTCCATTAAGCGAGTCCAGACCCATTTGGAAAGAACCAATCACATGTAGCAGTTCTCGAACTCTGTTGCTAGCGTGCTGCAATCAAATATAAAGGTTCCAAACACCCATCCCAAAAGAGGTGGCCGGCTGAATTTCTGAGAATGATTCACTGATTTTGGGAAGGAACTGCCCACTGTCTCTCTGCATGCGTCACTGCTCTAGGTTGACCTGTTTCGAATCATAATTCATGCCCAGACCATGCAGAATCAGCAGAATGGGTATCTCTGAGGGTAGGTGTTGGGGCGGGTACAAGCTCACCCTTACATCGTTAGTACAAAAATATCTCCAAAGACATCTTAAAGGCCTCTGATGATGAGCCCATTTGCCTCCCAATCCAAGGGTGGCCTCCATCCATGTTGGAAAGGCAGCAAGACTGGCAGTCATAACCCACCGGCAGAGGAAGAATGAACAAGCATGGGTCATCTCATTAAGAAATGAACAGTGATGTCCTCTTTGCCTAGACACTACTTGCTTGGTTGCTTTTGCAAGTAAGTAGAGGCCACTGACGCGGGTGGCGCTGTGGGTAAAAGCCTCAGCGCCTAGGGCTTGCCGATCGAAAGGTCGGCAGTTCGAATCCCCGCGGCGGGGTGCGCTCCCGTTGTTTGGTCCCAGCGCCTGCCAACCTAGCAGTTCGAAAGCACCCCCGGGTGCAAGTAGATAAATAGGGACCGCTTACTAGTGGGAAGGTAAACGGCGTTTCCGTGTGCTGCACTGGCTCGCCAGAGCAGCTTCGTCACGCTGGCCACATGACCCGGAAGTGTCCGCGGACAGCGCTGGCTCCCGGCCTATAGAGTGAGATGAGCACACAACCCTAGAGTCTGGCAAGACTGGCCCGTACGGGCAGGGGTACCTTTAGAGGCCACTGAAGCCTCAAATTTCAGCAGCACCCTGCGCGATGCCAAAATTCTCTTGTGCTCCATTTTAAATCATAGCTGTGGCCGAAACTATCATACGCCCCAAAATCTGCTCCTTAGCTGTCAAGTGCTCACCCTTGAATCTGCTGATAGCCATAAAGCCGTATGTGCTCTAAAGGATGCACATGTGCACTGGATTGCGTGTGCGCATGAGAGATCATTTACACAGGGTGATTTGCCATATGTAAATGGGTTGGACAGAGTCTCAGTGTAAGGTTTGGTTCCAGCAGTGCTGTAACGGGGTGGGGGGGGTGTGGGCTGGCTAGCCAAGGTTGTTTGCCCTGGGCGAAGCCTCCCGAGGGGTGCCATTGAGGCTGTGCGTGCGCAAATGTGCATTGGGTGTGTGTGTCGGACTGGGTCTTTGACCCACATGAAATAAAGCCTAGTTTCACCCCTGGATTCCAGTGTGGGTGAATCCTTTTTTCTCTCCCCCCCCCTTGCCATAAGTAATTTAAGGCCCTGCTGGCTCCAGAGAAAAGCAGCTGGCCTTTGGGTACCTTTGGCATAGGAATGCTTTGCAGAAGCCGGAGGTGCAACTCCCATGAGCCTTGCTGGGTCCAGGCAGGGGATCCATTGACTAAAGCATGGGTAGGCAACCTAAGGCCCGGGGGCTGGATCCGGCCCAATCGCCTTCAAAACCCAGCCCACGGACGGTCGGGGAATCAGCGTGTTTTTACATGAGTAGAATGTGTCCTTTTATTTAAAATGCATCTCTGGGTTATTTGTGGGGCATAGGAATTCATTCATCCCCCCCAAAAAAAATACAGTCCAGCCCCCCACAAGGTCTGAGGGACATTAGACTGGCCCCCTGCTGCCCCTTTCAGACCTAAGAATTAGGAGCCAAATCATTTCTTGGATTTGGGTGGAACTCTTGCAAGAATCACTTCAATGCAGCGGGTAGTTTTCCAAAAATTGTTTTCCTATATGCCATTGTTTTAACTGCGTACATTTGTTCAAGGAAGTTTTTAATGGTTGATGTTTTCTTGTGTTTTTAATATTTTGTTGGGAGCCGCCCGGAGTGGCTGGGGCAAATCAGTTAGATGGGCAGCATATAACTAGGGTTGCCATGTGTCCTCTTTTTCCAGGACATGTACTCTTTTTCAGGGGGAAATTTTCTGTCCGGATTTTTTTTAATTTGCTGAAATGTCTCTGGCTATACTTTCTGGATGAGACATGGACATAACTGGTGGCTGAAGAATTGCTTTCCTCTTCTCTTCTCCTGCCCCCCTCAGCAATATATCACAGCTTCTATAGCATACATATAGTAGGGGTATTTAAAATGAGAGTCGTCATAGCGGCCTCTTTTTTGCTCTTCGAAATATGGCAACCCTAAAATAATAATAATAATAATAATAATAATAATAATAATAATAATAATAATATTAGTGTTACTATTGCAAATTGCTACAGGATGCCACATGGGAAGCGATTCATAAATTAAATAAATGAATGAATAGCACCTGTGCATCTGTGTGATCTGTAGTGAGACGGCACTCTGCCAGGTCTTCAGATCGTAACCCAAAACATCCAGTCCAAACAAAATGCTTCTAGCATCTGTTAGCAAAAACCTAAGGAAAAGGCAAACGGGGGGTTAATATTGGGCTGCCTTCATGGTCCTTTTTCAGGAAAGAAGCTTCTGGAAGTCCGGCTGTCCATCTGGCAGCAGCATCCTTCTTTGGCGATCTCTTGCCTGCTTCAGCGAACAATTAACATTTAAGTTGAAGGGCAAGATTGCTCAATATTGCCATTTGTCAGACAAAGGGGCGACCTAGCAAAGCCTGCAGTGGTGGGAATAGTCATTTGTTATCCAATACACAACTAAGGGTCTCACCCAAACTTCTTTTTGTGTCCAAGTGGTGTTTTTTTACCCTTTGTCCTGGGGAAAGCACTGGGACGAAAAAACAATATTCAGGCACAGAGCTGCATGAGCCCTAAGTGGTTACAGCAAAAACTGTGATGGCCTCACTAATAAAACTGTGCCACAAGAGCTATAGGTGCCCCCCCCTTTTATGAGTCAGTGTAGTGCAATGATGAGGATTATCTATGACTGGTGAGATTTAGGTTCAAATCCCACTCCCCCTTGGGCCAGCCAATATCTCTCAGTCTAACTTACGAGATTTGTTTGTTGAGGGTTACAACTGCAAGGAAGGAGGGACAAGAACCATGCAACACCACCTTCAGCTCCTCGGAGGAAAAGCCAGGAAACAAACTGCAAATCTTCGACTCCCTTGACAACGGCTTACCTACTTGAAATGATCCATTGTACTGAACAGCTAAGCCCAGAGTTCATCTTGAAAGAACTACACTGACTCCCAGTACATTTCCGAGCACAATTCAAAGTGTTGGTGTTGACCTTTAAAGCCCTAAACGGCCTCGGTCCAGTATACCTGAAGGAGCATCTCCACCTCCATCGTTCTGCCCGGACACTGAGGTCCAGCTCCGGGCACCTTCTGGCGGTTCCCATGCTGCGAGAAGCCAAGTTACAGGGAACCAGGCAGAGGGCCTTCTCGGTAGTGGCACCCGCCCTGTGGAAGGCTCTCCCACCAGATGTCAAAGAGAAAAATAACTACCAAACTTTTAGAAGACATCTGAAGGCAGCCCTGTTTAGGGAAGCTTTTAAAGTTTAATAGGTTATTGTATTTTAGTGTTTTATTGGAAGCCGCCCAGAGTGGCTTTGGAAACCCAGCCAGATGGGCGGGGTATAAATAATAAATTATTATTATTATTATTATTATTATTATTATTATTAGGCACACCAAGTGGGAGCTTCCAGCAAACCCATCAAGAGGCCACATTTTTCTTCTGCAAGTTGTAGGGGATATGACTGGGCTCTGGTCTTCCCCAAGTCCATCAGCCTGACAAAACACCAGCGGAACATGGCGTGTGGCTTGCAGCGTGTCTCCTCCATGCTCGCCTCTTGCGTTTCTGTGAGTTCCAATGAGCCCAGCATAGTGCAACAGACGGCGATGCAACACACACCTGCTGTAGACTTCGGTCCTTTTCCCAAAGATGCTTGCCACTGCTGCTGGGTGGAGACCCTGGATTGAAAGCTGCTCTGGAGGCTTCCCTGAACTCAGCTGTTCTTCCCATTGAGCTGATCTGAACTTCAGAAACCTTTAGTGGCTGTAGAAATGTGCAATTGGAGCTCCCATAGTGGGTGCCAGTTCTTTCTGGAACCCTGTTTGTTTCTTAAAAAAACACACACCCAAAGGTCAAGAAATGCAAAGCAGCATTATGGCTAGCCTACCCCACAGAGGGGGTGCGAGGATAAAAAAGGATTGTGCCGATTTGCAAAACCGCTCTTCCATCAGCGACTGAAGACCAAGAGCCCCAAGTTCTCTCAAAAAATAATTTAATCAGAGAAATACAGTAAAACAAGGTAGAGAGGCTTTCCAGCACTGTCGAGAGCAGCCCATGGGAGCGCTCACAACAATCGTAAGAGAATCCTCTCCTGTCACAATCAGCTCTTGGCTGCAAGGCTCAGGGGTGAAGCTGGTATTTGGGGCTAGTAGGAAAGCAAAATGGTTTCAACACACACAAGAGGGCACATCTTCTTCACCCTGGCAGCAAATTCAGACCTTCGCCTCCTTCGGGTGCACCCAACTCTGGGCTGTGCCATTTCAGACATGAAAGTGGGGGGGGGGTCATCACAGAACTGAACAAAAGTTTCCCTTCATGTAGAAAACTAGCATGCTAGGTTTTTTTTAGCACACTAGTTTTCTATGTGCAGGGATTTCCTCTGTACGGAGGAACATTAAATCAAGTGAGCCCCCAGCCTCAAACTGAAATGGTACAGCTCAGACACAGGTTTACCATGCCATGAGAGCTAGGACATTGTCATAGGCTGAAAATGAAGGGGGTAGGAACATATGAGGGCCAGGTTAGCTTTTATAGAGTTGGAGAGGGCTGCCTAGTGACTACTGAGGAAGAATTCCGCCACGTACAGAACAATACAGGCCCCTGGAATCTGCAGGGGCCTCAAATCCTTGATTCTGGCCTGCTTGCAAGAAGAAAACCAAGGCCATCCACCCTTTTTGCTTCCCAGACTGCGAATGTGTGGCTGCTGCTCACGATAGCAGGATTCAGCTCTTGCTGCTGCCACAGTTTGGGGACATGTACACCACCAACATGAAGCGATTTCAAACCTGTTGTGAATCTCTAAAGAACCCAGATGTTTTGCAAGGGTGCTGAGGGCTCTCTTTAAAGAGCAAGTTCTACGATCCTTTCTGTAAAGAAACTTAGAAATTACAGTTTGCAAGGGCAGGTGGGCGGGTGAAGATTCTTCAACAGGGACCCTGAGCTCCCCAACAGGACAACTGATGCGCAGATCTCAGTGCGATTTACATTTTTGGTGTAAGATGCTTGTTAACAGCACAGAGGGAGATTGGGGGTCTGCCCAGGCAAGCTAAAACCTCCTATAAGGGCTACATGCTATTTCACAGAGGGATGCTGTTTCCATAGCTATCCAAAACAGATTCACTGGATTCTCAACTCCTGGACGCTTCCTGAGGTGATTATTTGTTGGCAGTGTGGCTGGCTGTGTGCACGCTATACATTTAAAGCACATGACTTTCCCCAAAGAATACCTGTAGCTTGTTAAGTGTTGGGAATTGTAGCTCTGTGAAGGGTAAATGACAGTTCCTAGGATTTTTGTCCGCGCTTTTCTCCAACGCGCTGAACAAATCCACAATATGACGAGGTGGAGCAAAACTCATAAACGAGGTCAAATTGTGCCTTAGATATCTCCTAGGGTCTTTTAAGCTTAGTGTATCAATTTGAGACAACCCAGCACCCTTCAAACTTTATAGAGGAAACATGGGTGCATTTGGAAAGGAGGAGAAGGCAACGCCCGTCACTTCACCCCGCATATGCAGGAAACCAGCTCAGGGCCCCAATACTCCCTGCTAATTCTTGTTCCTTGGTTGCAGAGGGGCGGCTGGGGGAGGGAAGAGAGAGACCCATATCTTCGCATAAATTAAACATTCAGCGCGCGCACTGGCTTGCATTGCAGCATCATCCAGAGGCCTGGCGGTGCCACAGCCCACATTCAAGTCAGAAAGGCATTAGTACAGAGGTTTGAGCTGGGCTCTGCTCCAAGTCTCAGGCAGGCCCAGTAGGCACGAGAGGCTCCCTTGCACTGTGCAGGGAAAGCGTTGCGCTTCTTTGCTACCGCCGGACGGGCCTCTGCCTCAGCACTCTAACCGAGAGGGTGTCTGCCCACAAGAGAAGTTCATTGATCTGGGCCAGGCCCAGCCCAGCAACCTTGGCACCGTTCACCTCCAGGATTTCGTCCCCAACTCCAAGGAGTCCAGCATACAGTTTAGCTGTGCTGGCATCTGCCATCTCCTGGACGTAGATGCCTGCCAGGGAAAACAAAATGAAAATAGCTTTAAAAAGCAACCAGTGCTATTCATGCAGGCAGCTCTAGTCCTGGTTTCAGTTCCAAAGCAACAGAATCACTCCCTCTCCATCATTTTCTTGGTCTCAATGGATCCTGGTTTGAGCATATGAAATGGTCCCCCCTAGCCAGAGATTTTGGGGATGGGAGAGTCTTGATGTCACATTCCTAAGCAAGATGTTACTACTCAGTGAAGAGGCACAGTGGCCAGCTGCTTCTGTTCATGTGGCATGTTAAGATGCCATCTCTCAACCCAAGACTCCCAGCAAATTGGATCCTGCGTCTTACCTCCTGTGCCATCGGTGGTCTGTTCCCAAGGCAAGACTGGCAGACTGAGCTCTGGATATCAAGAGTACCATCTAGACTGCGGCACCAGCCTACCCAACTCGAATGAGCAATCGTGCCTCACCAGGTCCTATAAGGCCCTTTGAGCTTGCTCCTGAGCTTTGACTACACACCTGTTTTGGGCTCACTTGGGCTGATAGCCAGCTCTTCTGACTGACTGCAGCCTGGCGAGACATGTGCACACCTGCTCATCGATGCACATGCAAGATGAACTGCTACCCTTGTAAGAATGATTCTCTGCACACAATGTTTTAGTAAATCCTCCTTGCGGCAGCCGATCTGGAGGTTCCTTAAACTCCAGTGTCCATCTGGCTGCACATCACGGCGCATAAGAGATGCCAACAGCAGTGGATCAAGGTGCTGAAACCCCAATTCCAAGTTTCCACTGAAGCACCGTGCGCCAACCGGACTGCGTACAGGCATCGAGGGGTTGTAGCTCCTCGGCTGAGCTCTCTCCTCGCATCTCTGATCAGGAATGTGTCTACATGCCCTTCAGTAATGCCTCCGCTATGTCTACTCACGCGTCTCTCTTCACACAGACAGCTCAGGATGGATTGGGAATGAGAAACCGTGGAACCTGAGCAGTAATTCTTAAACTAAGGAAGTTGCTGGTGGTGAGACTCCTGCCTTGACATGTCCTCTGCCTCCCCCTCCTGCTTTTGGAAAGGACTGCTGATGCATTAAGGCAGTCGTTTTATGTAGTGCAAGAAGATCTCAAATCCCATCTATGCTAAAACTCACATGCATTAAGCATCCCTGAAGCTATCTGAGACCCAGGAAGAGGAGTGGGAGAGGATTTTACGATGCTCTTCCCTCCCACTGAAGGCTAGGTTGCCAGGGTAACGGGGGACATCCGAGACCTAAAACGGTCAAAAGGCCTAGGCACTTCTGGTCACCCCCAAGGTGACAGCAGGGGAAGTGGAGAGCAGGAAGACACCATATGTGTTTTCTATCTCATGACCTGTAACCTTTCCTGACGTATGTGAAGATGTATTATGACCCTTTGTTTGCTGCGTTTGAACTACTAAACAGTGGTGCCTCGCAAGACGAAATCAATTCGTTCCGCGAGTTTTGTCGTCTTGCGATTTTTTTCGTCTTGCGAAGCATGGTGTCGGGAAAGTTTTGGAAAAGCTTCAAAAATCACCAAAGTCTTTAAAAACCTCAAAAAAGGCTACCACACCGCGTTCTATGAGTTGCTCCTCGAAGTCAAGTCGCAACTGTATTAACGGTGTTAAGAAAAAGGAAACAAACTTGCAAGACGTTTCCGTTTTGCGAAGCAAGCCCATAGGGAAAATCGTCTTGCGAAGCACCTCAAAAAACAAAAAACCCTTTCGTCTAGCGAGTTTTTTGTCTTGCGAGGCATTCGTCTTGCGAGGTACCACTGTATAAGCTTTAGTTCTGAAGTGCCTTGGGGCAGACTTTCTAAACTGGCATGGTGTGTGCAGCTCTGCCCTATTGCAATAGCTATAATAAACACTAGGTCCCTAAATCCGGATGCTGGACTTGAAAAGTTTCTTTGGTTGTGTCATTTCTTTAAAAACCCCAGAGTCGGCCACGACTGGACCTAATGGTCAGGGATCCCTTTACCTTTACCTAGGAGGGAAATATGAGGAATCTCCAACCATGTTTTCCTCCTAGTAAATGCTAACGTTGGCCTTTTGCAGGGGAGAGTCCTCTGCCTGCTGGTTCTCCTCTTACAAACACTCCCTTCCCTTCTGGAATTGCAGGTACCTTTTCCATCTCTTAGATATGTTGAACTTAAGTTCATTCTATGCTTACCCCCCAACAAGTCCATATCCAGAAACCGAGAGTGTGAACAGGCACACCATGTTTGGTGGTGATGAATCCTCTCCTGTCATGTTTTGGTGGGGCAAAGGGGAGGCCCTCTATCTCCAAGTTTCTCTGAGAAAATTCAGGGAGGGGGCTGGACACTGCAGCACCCTCCCCACAAGGCCGCCTCACTAAAATGCATGCAATGCGCTGAATAAAGATGGGCAGGTGACACAGTCTGGATTCTATGATCAAGCAGGTCCTCTCCAGCTTTGGTTTATGCTTAATATATATTTCATAGCTGGGCAGAGGAAGCAAATTCCAAAGGCACGCAAAGAGGAAAAGTTTTGGATAGGAGGAAGGGGATAAGGGCTGGGGAGAATCTTCTCCAAATATTTTGTAGAAAGGTTTTACCTCTTTAATGACACAAAAGCTTCTGGAGAAGTGGGAGCCAGGAACTGACACTGATCAGTTTCAGCTGTACCCCAGATAATATCTGAAACCTCTTAAGGTGGGGACAGTATCTGAAAAGTCCAGGGCTGTGCAATGAAAACACTTAATTCCTGGAGCCAGAGTGCTTAAGGCCAGGAAAAACATTTGTCATCTTAGTCCACAAATATCGCAATACTCTCAGGAGCCTGCCTGGGAAAAGAAGGTGGAAACATCTGTGTTCAATTATTCCCGCCATCTGACCCACTTTGTGACCGGCTTAGCCTAAAAAAAAAAGGCTGAGTCGGACTCTCACATAACAAGGGAGTGTTCCACAATCTGCTTTTCTGCTCTTGCGCATCAGGGCACCCCAAAACAGTACATGCACTGGGAGTTATGGGAGACCAGGGATGAAGCCTTTATGTTTGGGGAGCATTTCAACTGTCTTTGCTTCTCAGCAGAAACAGGTGCACACCTAGGAGTAGCTGAGAGACGAAGGGCTGATGGACATGCCTTTCCCTGACTTATAAGTCTGCTGTTGACAACAAAGAGCTAATTCCTCACTCTGGCTATTCTGTGCCTGACATCAGAGTTCAAGGACACACTCCAGCCAGACAAAAACACAGGGGGGGCAGGGCAAGGGGGGGCCTGGGAAAAGCTCAGACACCAGAAACAGAAGCACAGAGGGCCTGAGGTTCTGCCCCTCTGCCCTACACTGAACATATACCTGTGTCAGGACGGCCATTTCCTGACGAGACACGAAATCCGAAGTTGCCCTCTGGGCGGTGCTGCAATTCCAGCTGGCTTGTTCCGTCTGGGAAAACTTCCACCACTCGCCCGACGGTTCTCGCCAAGTTCGGGGAGCCAATGTCCTCCACGCTGAGGGAACGGCGATGTGGGGCACCTGCGTTCCTGGGAAGAGGAAGGAATATTGTTGCAAACAGGAAATGCATATTTAAATGGCCCAACTCGGACACAACTCTAAACGCGGGCTTAGCATTGTGTGCACTAACTTTCCCTCTCTTCCTCCAGTGTGGCTATTGCTTCTGTTAAATTATATGTAGTTTTAACCTGCCGACTAGGCAAACCACGGTTTGTCCTAATTATGTGACAGGGAAATGAAGCAACTTCATTCTGCAGCCTACGAAGCTGGCTTGTTTCTGTAAACCATAGTTAAAATTGGCTACCATTTTAAGGTTTGACAATGGAAACGAAACTTCTGACCGCTTCCTAGCAGTAACACGGGAGCAGGAAGGAAGGAAGGAGAGGGTGGCGACAAACAAACCCAATGCTCAAGCACGTAACATCCAGCCAGTTATACTGAAACCAAGCCAATGTGAATTTTGTTAAAAATAAAAATTAGCAGCAGAGGGACGTGATGAAGGACGCGGGTGGCGCTGTGGGTTAAACCACAGAGCCTAGGACTTGCTGATCAGAAGGTCGGCGGTTCGAATCCCAGCAACGGGGTGAGCTCCCGTTGCTCGGTCCCTGCTCCTGCCAACCTAGCAGTTCGAAAGCACGTCAAAGTGCAAGTAGATAAATAGGTACCACTCCGGCGGGAAGGTAAATGGCGTTTCCGTGCGCTGCTCTGCTTTGCCAGAAGTGGCTTAGTCATGCTGGCCACATGACCCGGAAGCTGTACGCCAGCTCCCTTGGCCAATAAAGCAAGATGAGCGCCGCAACCCCAGAGTCGGCCACGACTGGCCCTAATGGTCAGGGGTCCCTTTACCTTTAATGTGGATGAAAAAGAACATGTGCAAAAGTGACATGGAGCAGAAATAGGCTGGTTCACCCACAGGGCAGGTACATTTTAAGATGTCCAATTTCCTTCAGAACATACATAAGCAATGATCAGGGGCAGGATTGGGTCTGTTCTTCTGTGTTTATTGTCGAAAAGGCCACCCGCTGGCTCCCATTCTGAATGCAATGTGTCGCTTACAGCCAAGTGTGAGTGAGTTGTAAGGTCAAACACACCATCCCAGATGCCGCAATAACCAGGCATAGCATAATCTGCTGCTTTCACAGTGTTTCAGAAGAAATGACAAAAATGGGAGATTTAGGATTTTCAGCGTTACCTGTTTAGAGCAGCTTCCTCCTCCTTTGGTTCCCCCAGTGCATAGAGACTGGACCGGTCAGCCTTGCCCAGTAAGGAATGCAGATTTTGAACAGAAGAGGCTTTTCTTGGTTGGCGGAATGGCGACACCTAGCGGGAGAATGAAAGAGCTGAGCCAGAGCAAGGGTTGAGAAAACTAACCCCGGGATTCTGCTTTTAAAAAAAGCAGACACCGGGCAAAGAAAGCCTAACAATTGTCATTTACAATTCCAAATATGTTGGATCTGCCTGAACGTTTGGACAGTATGAAAGGCAGTGGCTATAACTACTTTTTAATTTGCAAAGTAGTCCGGGAGGCATGGAGCAGTTTGTACTGGAATTTACAAAGGGCATACTGTGGGCACCAAATTGGCTGCTTCTATGGTAGGGCATAGGGACGCGGGTGGCGCTGTGGGTAAAACCTCAGTGCCTAGGACTTGCCGATCGCATGGTCGGCGGTTCGAATCCCCGCGGCGGGGTGTGCTCCTGTCGTTCGGTCCCAGCGCCTGCCAACCTAGCAGTTCGAAAGCACCCCTGGGTGCAAGTAGATAAATAGGGACCGCTTACCAACGGGAAGGTAAACGGCGTTCCGTGTGCTGCGCTGGCTCGCCAGATGCAGCTTGTCACGCTGGCCACGTGACCCGGAAGTGTCTGCGGACAGCGCTGGCTCCCGGCCTATAGAGTGAGATGACCGCACAACCCTAGAGTCTGACAAGACTGGCCCGTACGGGCAGGGGTACCTTTACCTTTACTTTATGGTAGGGCATGTATGGCAGTGCAACTTGGGACTCTGGCCAGAACTATTGGGCTTTGCCATTGTACTGGGGAACTGAGAGAATAACTACAAACACTGGTCTTCAGCTGTTGGGTTGCAACCCCACTCCTGGGCCGCAGCCTGACTTAAGGGTGGCCTTGCCAGCAGCTCAATGACCGCACAAATATATGTTTAACAAACCTTAAACATACGTTTAGGCTAAAATATGCTTCCCGGGCCTGAAAAGGTTAAAGGCTGCTGTTGTGGGCATCAGTCTGCCTTGAGAGACAATGGAGTGTGCCTCTGGGGGTGAAGTCAAACTACTGCATTAGCAGGACTGAAGGGTGGGCAGTGTTTGTGGAGGTCCTGGGCTGACCAGACAACAAGTCTCCCCTCTCAGCCTTCCTGCTGTAGTCCAAAGGAAAGCAGAGCAAGACGTTTGGCACCAGCTTGGCGGCAGGAGGAAGCGTACGAGGAGCTGTCCAACTGCCTTAGAGACTCTAGAATTTCTGCAAGATGGGGGAGGAGGGAATCAGTGGGGAGGGGCAAACTGTCTTTTGAGGAGAGGTTCCCCACCATGACACCCCTGAACACAATTTGATAGTCGCTGCCCTACATAAAGTAGGCTGAGTTTTTCCTGCCTCTGGAAGTCCCAGATCTAAAGCCACCTAGTGCAAGGGTGGAGAAACTGTTGGGATACTGCCAGGGAGATAACGTCCATCTGAGCCCCCAAGCCGGCTGCCGGACGATCCATCGACCTCCCGTAGTCACGCAGTCACTTAGCGACACGAAGCCTTAGAATCCACATTCCTAGGCTGGTGCACACTCTTTCAGCAGAATCCACACAGCAAAAGATGCACAGCAGGAGAGTATATTTACAGTTTATTCAACGTTGGTCAGAACAAAGAAAAGACATGACCGTCTGCTTCAGCGTTCAAGCACAGACAGAGAAAAAACGAAAGCAATAGCAAACATAAACATCCTGTGAACAGGAAATACGCAGACTTTGTGACTCACAGCCTGCTCCCTCTTAAGGTGGAACGGAAATATCTTAACAGAAACCTCTGACCTGAAGGCCAAATTTGGCCTGCAAGGGCTTCCTCCACTTCTGAGGTCACACAGGTAGAGACGCAGCCTGCCGATGCACAACGGGGAGCCTTTAAGGGCGCTCCTGACTGTGCACTGGTAAGGGAAAGCAGACTTTGGCAGGAGAACCAAAGCCTGCTGCATCAGCTGCACAAGGCAGTTCCCACAGGGAAGAACTCAGTTGCACAGCCAGTGTCTGTACAAAGTGAACTTCAGCTCTCCAGGCCCTCAGCTGATAGGTGGGAGAGCTGAAGCCGGGTGGATTGGCTGTGTGGGTGGTTCGCCCCACCACCCTTTCAAAGTTGGCCTGCAGGGATGGGAATGGGCAAAGATCTGACACCCACACCCCAGCCAAAAAGGTCTCCGGCCTCTGATCATGAGATGCACCCTTTGGACTCACCAGCTGCAAGGACTGCAGGGAAGGCGCTTTCTTCATTTTGGGTGTGCTGGTGGCACCTGGGCCTGGCTCCTCAGTGGGCGCTGCAGCTCCCGGCTCCGGGGCACAAATCTGCTCCATGCTGTAGCAGCGGAACCTCCCCAGCCTCTGCTTGGTGCTCTGACTCAGAGTGCTGAAGAACTTCTTTAGTCCTGATACAGAAGAGGAGGAAGAGGAGCCACCTTTCTTGGCAAACAGTTTCTTCTTTGGCTCCGGGTAGATCTCCAAGGGTTTGCTGGAAGGCAAAAGAAGTCCGCCAGGCCAGGTTAAGAGTCAGGGATAACTCCCAGCTCTGTTTGCCGGAGATCACAATAACCAAACGACAGTACAGTGGTGCCTCGCAAGACGAAATTAATCCGTTCCACGAGTCTCTTCGTCTTGCGGTTTTTTCGTCTTGCAAAGCATGGCTATTAGCGGCTTAGCGGCTATTAACAGCTTAGCGGCTATTAGCGGCTATTAGCGGCTTAGCGGCTTAAAGAAAAAGGAAACAAACTCGCAAGACGTTTCGTCTTGCGAAGCAAGCCCATAGGGAAATTCGTCTTGCGGAACGACTCAAAAAACGGAAAACCCTTTCGTCTAGCGAGTTTTTCGTCTTGCGAGGTATTCGTCTTGTGGGGCACCACTGTAATAAAACACGAGGGAAAGGCATTCAAAGGCTTCGAACAAACAAAAACAGCAAAGTCACGAAGCCAACAGCCGTAAGAGCTAATCTGCACATCTGTCACGTGGTGCATCGCAGAGATCGAAAAGGCCTGGAGTGCAGTTCCCTTGGGCAGTTCCATTCTAAAACTGCACATTTCGAAGGGCTTTTGTTGCAGAGGTGCCAAGGAACGGAATGACGCCACTCTGTGACCACAGCCTTTCCCCCCTTAAATGCTCAGCTTCATGAAATTAGTATTTTCCTGCATGCAATTTGAGACTGCAGGCAGGAGACTTTATACCTGAATCAAGGACCATCATGGAAGGAGGGCGAGGGATGCAGTCTATCTCCCATCCCATCTCTTATTTCTAGCGCAATGATGACAGCACCTATATCTGTGGCCAACCAATCTGCACACTGATTGGTACAATGGGTATTTGGTGTGAAGCCAAAGACATAAATCCTTTTGGGTAAAAAGTGTGGGAGACTGACCTTATGAAAGAAAGAATTGCAACATGCAGTCTTAAAGATAGGCTGTGCACGCCCTAAGCACATTTAAAGCACGCTCACTCTCCCCAAAGAACCCAGAGAACTGTAGTTTGCTAAGGGTGCTGGGAATGATAGCGGGGGGGACGGGACGGGACTACAGTTTCCAGGATTCCTTGGGGGAGAGGGACACACATGTTTTAAATGTGTACTCAGTGCACAGCCACGTGCTCTTCCAACCGCCCCCATTTATTTTTGAACTTGTAGAAATATAGGTCTTTGAACACTGGTTGCCCTTGTCTTCTCCCCAGTCTTCCTCACTAACCTTAAATTGTGTCCCCTGGTTTAGGAGCTCTCCAATTTTAAAAGCATAAAACAACAACAAACCCCCTAAGTTCACCAGGCAGAAAGCTAAGCCAAATTATCATGTCCAGATACAGCAGTTTTTTCTTTTTTAACACTCAAAATGCCAATATGCACACAAAGCCTGAAGTGGCTGAAGACTGGCAGAATGGAGTCTCATACTTTTAAAATAGTAATGCTAATAATGAATGGGCACATTGGTTCTCATGAGTCTACCAGACAAAGACCCACAGGAAATCACACCTTCTATGGAGACCGTCTCCAAATGCAAGGGGCCTTCGTAACAAAACCCTTAAAGGTAAAGGTAAAGGGACCCCTGACCATTAGGTCCAGTCGTGGCCGACTCTGGGGTTGCGGCGCTCATCTCGCTTTATTGGCTGAGGGGGCCGGCGTACAGCTTCCGGGTCATGTGGCCAGCATGACTAAGCCACTTCTGGCGAAACCAGAGCAGCGCACGGAAACGCCCTTTACCTTCCTGCTGGAGCGGTACCTATTTATCTACTTGCACTTTGACGTGCTTTTGAATTGCTAGGTTGGCAGGAGCAGGGACCGAGCAACGGGAGATCACCCCGTCGCGGGGATTCGAACCGCCAACCTTCTGACTGGCAAGTCCTAGGCTCTGTGCACAGCGCCACCTGCGTCCCTTAGCAAACCCTTAGCAGCAGGCAAAAGCCCCCAATCCTCAATTCACCAGGCAATACTGTCTTCCTCCGAGAAGAGGGGCCCTGTCAGATACAGCCACCTCCTGACAGATGCTGCCTCACCTGTCACAATGGCATCTTTCTTCCATGGCTAACAGCAGGGGGGGGCGGGGGAGAGGAGGGAAGAAAAAGGTTTTTTAAAACCTTTCAAACTTGCAGTGATCCAAATTTTGCTTGCTTCCCAGCAGCCTCTGTTTTCTTAAGTAAATGCATATTAGTTGCTTACGCAAAACGTTGCACCTGGCTTGCTCCTCATTCTGCGCATTCTTCTGGCCAAACGGTTAGGGCCGCATGATGCACTTAGTGAGTTAACAAGTTTAAAATGAAATTGAACTTTAGAAACTTGGGGCGGCATTCCCTTCCAACTGTATGTGTGTCTCGTTTTGTCTCGTCCACACCCGCCACGCACATTCCATTTCTAAGCATGAGGAAGTGTGCCTTGTGAAACGTGGGTATGGGCGCCTTTATGAAAGCAACATGAGAAGCGAGAATAAAATCATTTTGAACTTGTTGGATCCCCTCCTGTAGAACCAGAGGCATACCTAGGCTCCCTTGCACCCGAGGCAAGGAACTGTATCAGCGCCTCCAAAGCCCGGAGGGACGACGGACCAGAAACTCAAAAGGTTTGCTTTTCATCACCTTTTGTGCTCCGCCAGCGACTTCCTCTGTGTCAAGGTCTGCTCTGCTCTGCCTGCCCCAACTCCTCTTCCTGTGTCGTCCCTCTGTCTGTCTGCCTGCCTCTGCTAGCTTCCCTCCTAGCCACTCGGAGCCAGAGTGGAGAGATGTGATTTTTGTGCTCCCCTGGGCTTGCGCCCTTGGCGGGGGGCAACTTACAGAGACCCCCTAACTCCGCTCATGTGTAGATTCACTTCTGAGGAAACTCCTCAGCGCCTAGAAGCAAGCAAGCTGGTTTGAAGGCAAATGTTTCTGTGTTTGAATGCTAACCAGAAAATCTCATTTGTCCGGGTAACCGTATCAAGCCTTCTCTTGCGACTCCTCATAAGGGAGCTGGTCCTGGAGGAAGAACTTGAGGGGAGAGACTTCGCCAGGCAAGGCCTCCTTCCACCTGCCTTGCCCCACCCTCTAGTCTCTGCTTCTCAATTTGTATTATTTATGTACTGTGGCTTGCCATTGTTTTATTGATTATAGTTTAGAAATTATTTATTGTAACTGTTGAGTGGATTTCTGTTTAACTTTTATATGTTGTTGTTGTTATTTAATACTATTCTAATGACTGTCAAATGTTACTTTTTTGATGTAGGTTGTCTATTTTAAAGTTATGTTTTATTATCACATTTTTGTATTGCATTAGATTGTTATAAGATGTACATTTTTGTTTCTTCAGCTTGTAAACCACCTTGAGTATTGTAAGATAGAAAGACGGTATACAAACTAAAAATGATGATGATGGTGATGAAAGGATTTTTTCTAAAAAAAGTTATTATGCAAAACTGTAACCATTAGCAGGCTGTTGAATAACCTTTCGTGTGAGCGGGGTATGCATAGGCCCACCCCACCGCTATGTCCCTGGGACCTCTTCAAGAAAACCCAATGCACATGCTGGGATCAGAAGGCAGTTTGGCACACTTATCTGCCCTATAGCAGAGGTTCTTTTTATTGTGGCCACAGGACTCTACTATCTCTATAGCCGCATCGGTATGGATGAAACTTTACAGGGTTAGGTAAGCAAAGACAAGAGAACCCCAAAAGCCATTCATTTTGACAATAGAGACGGAAGAGAGAAAAGGAGAAAGGAAACAAGAGGCAAGAGTAGCACGGCATAAATTGCAACAACACATATTTAAGCTTCGTGGAAAAGTTTACATGGATATGCAGCCACAGGTAAGGCAAAGGCAAAGGACCCCTGAATGGTTAAGTCCAGTCAAAGGCAACTATGGGGCTGTGGCGCTCATCTCGCTTTCAGGCCAAGGTAACTGGCGTTTGTCCACAGACAGTTTTCTGGGTCATGTGGCCAGCAGGACTAAACCGCTTCTGCTGCAACAGAACAATGTGACGGAAACCAGAGCGAATGGAAGCGCTGTTTACCTTCCCACTGCACTGATACCTATTTATCTACTTGCACTGGTGTGCTTTCAAACTGCTAGTTGGCAGGAGCTGGGACAGAGCAACGGGAGCTCACTCTGTCACAGGGATTTGAACATCTGACCTTCTGATTGCCAAGCCCAAGAGCCACAGAAACTGGGGAGGAGAGGGAGCGGAAGGGATGCATCCTATTACAGACCCTGAGGGAGGTCCACAAGATCCAGGACAGAGAGACACCATAACCTACCAATCCATGTTCTATGTGCTCCTCCTACTTCTCCCCATTCCTGCTTCAGAATTCCTCTACCTCTCCTGTACCCCATTGACTTTGTCTGCCGCTGAAAAAGGAGCTGCTGTATCCTGCCAAGGATTCTCTTTTCTTATCAGGGTGTGCCCAAACCCGGGGCTTTCAAGAATGCATACAGATTTTTGAGATCTGGCTGCTGTAGCCTACAGACTAGCAAAAATAAGCGATCATTAGGACAGGTGGCAGTGTGTGCATGTTTGTGTGGGCGTGTGTGTGTGTAGGGATGCCCACCCCTCACTTATCAGACATAACCTCCCCTTTTCTAGAGAATCTCAGGGTTGTGTATTCAAGTCCCATGTTGGCAAAAGATTCCTGCATTATAGGGGGTTAGACTAGATGACTCTCGTGGTCCCTTCCAACTCTGCGATTCCACAATGCAATGGTGTTTTAAATCGAGGGGAAGTCACTTAAAAATCACCATGCTTCTAGCAAACGCTATGTGAAGTTTGCATATAAATAGATAACAACGTTAACTGAATGGTGCCCAACAGTTTACTCTGCTAAATTTGGCTGGTATGAAACTGGACTTCTCTAAAAACTTTCTACTGGAGAAAACAATACTGTGCGCCATTACAGCATTTCCGATATAATCCCTGGGTAAGATGGAAAAGCCTTAAATTTCCGTTGATTCAGAAAGGTAACCATAGCAACAGCTGCCTGGAGATTTTGGCAGGGAGGGAGAAGCAGGCCAAGGCGGATTTGAGGGGTGGGGGTGGGGAGTGAGAGGGCAAAAGCAGCAGGGAGAGTGGCAAGGTCTAGAGCCAGCTGGCAGCGCCACAGGTCTGTGCTAACTGGCAGCAAGAGGGAACAGCCCAGGCTGAGAGAGCAGAGGGTATCTGCAGACCTGGCTGCATCTGGGTGAAGGAAAGGAAGAGCTGGCATTTTATTCAAAGAATCATACAACTGTAGAGCTGTAAGGGACCCTTTCATGCGGGTGGCGCTGTGGTCTAAACCAGTGAGCCTAGGGCTTGCCGATCAGGAGATCGGTGGTTCGAATCCCCGCGACGGGGTGAGCTCCCATTGCTCGGTCCCAGCTCCTGCCAACCTAACAGTTCGAAAGCACACCAGTGCAAGTAGACAAATAAGTACCGGCGGGAGGGTAAACAGCGTTTCCATGCACTGCTCTGGTTTTGCCAGAAGCGGCTTAGTCATGCTGGCCACATGACCCGGAAAAACTGTCTGCAGACATACGTCGGCTCCCTCGGCCTGTAAAGTAAGATGAGCGCCGCAACCCCAGAATCGTTCGCGACTGGACTTAGCTGTCAGGGGTCCTTTACCTTTTTTTAAAAGGGACTTTGAGTGTCATCTGGTCCAGCCCCCTGCGATGCAAGAATCTTGACTAAATCTTTCATGACAGATGGCCACCCAACCTCTGCTTAAAAACCTCCAAGGAAAGTAGCGTCCACCACTTCCCGAGGGAGACCGTCACACTGTCGAACAGGCTCTTACCATCAGAAAGTTCTTCCTGAGGTTGAGCCGGAATCTCCTTTCTTGCAACTTGAAGGAAAGTAAGAAAAACCCTCCCAATGCACTGATGAAACACCGTTTGGGCACATCACGGGTTTGAAGAAAGGTCTTATGCTATCAGATCTGGGCTGTGGCTAGTTCTCCAACAGAACAAAAGGGAAATTCCGAAACAGAGGTGCAAGCCGCCAGAGGCCCCTTGCGGGTCTTGACTTTAGAAAAGGCTTGATCTAACGGCTGCCCCCCAAACCCATTGCTTCATGGCAATGTGCAGCAGGGCATGTTTACTCACCACTGGGCTGCACTCGATGGCTTTGTCTTTGGAGGCTCGGCAGCTGGAGCTTCCCTACGGATTGGCTGAGCTGAGGTTGTCAAGTTGGTCTCCTCCCTTGTTGGCGAGAGACTAATGGCAGCAGAAGCGATGGCATTGGCAGCAATAAGGGGAACACCAGGGGCGGCGGAAGACAGGGGACCTGTTGAAACAACACAGACACTTCCAATGGCCTCTGCTTTAAAAAACAGACACACACCCTGGGGGTGGACTTGCACCATCAGCTAATGTGCCTGGGCATATTCTTATTTATTAAGAAACGTGGTTCTCCCCGCCAAGCCATCTCATATCAGATGCTGCCCAGGCAAGAGTAGGAATCTGGCTTTGGAAATCTAAGGGTACATCTTACCGTTACACACTTAAGTTCTGTACTATCTGACTGCCATCGCTTCCCCCATGCACCCCCCAAAGCTAGAGCACTGTAATTTGGTGAGGGTGCTGAAAATCCTGTGAATTCTTTGCTTCACTCATTCTAAGATTCCCTCCCTCTCTTTCTTTTTTTCTTTTCCTTCTCCTCCTGCGATGAGGCTACATTTTAATATTTTAATGTTTCATTATTTTAATGTTGTATTTTAATTTTGTTTTTAAGTTGTAATCATTCAACTTGTTTTTATTATTGCTTGTAAGCCGCTCTGAGCCCGGCCTTGGCTGGGGAGGGCGGGGTATAAATAAAAATTATTATTATTATTATTATTATTATTATTATTATTATTATTATTCACTCCTTACACCCCAACTGCAATTGCTTGTGAGGACGTAATGACTTTTAACCTTTTAAGTTAAATAAACAGGTTTTGCAGAAATGGGTTAAACACGGAGCAGGGGGAAAGTAAGGTTCTGAATCATGAAGAGAAGTCTGAACGATTGCATTTTCAGTGACCAAACTTTGTGCTTTCCATCACCCTCATGCTAAAGTCTGACCAAAGCACATCTCCAGTAGAAGCAGAAGTATGTGCAACAGGCACATCACTGCAGTTTGGCAACTATGGTATCCACAAAAACGATACACAAGCAACATCAACAGCATGACTACAGTGTGCCATTTGGTTGTGACTGCTGAATAGAGCTCATTTAGCTCCTCTGAAGGAGCAAAAAAACATCTGCAGGGAATTACTTGGAAAGAATGAGCCTGCTAAAAGCTTTTTTGGAGAATTCTCTGAAAGAGCTAGGGAAGAACAAGCATGCCCATTCTGAATCAAGATGTGAGGAATTTGTATCTAGTGGAAAATGGGGTTTTCCAGAAACTGTCTCTGTTATATGACATGTGACTAAACTTACCGTATTTTTCGCTCTATAAGACGCACCAGACCATAAGATGCACCTAGTTTTTAGAGGAGGAAAACAATATTCTGAATCTCAGAAGCCAGAACAGCAAGAGGAATCACTGCGCAGCAAAAGCAGCTATCCCTCTTGCTGTTCTGGCTTCTGTGATAGCTGCGCAGCCTGCATTCGCTCCATAAGATGCACACACATTTCCCCCTGCTTTTTAGGAGGGAAAAAGCGAGTCTTATAGAGCAAAAAATACGGTAATTAAAGCCTGGTAATTTTTGAGAAAAACCTAACTTTTCAGGCATGCTAAAATTTACTTAAATTTCCAACTGACACCTGGAAACCAAGATGTTTATTGGCTCTTTTTCATATAAAAGAAATCATAACTACTATTCAGGTGTTTTGTAACTGCTTGGTAACTGGAACTATGTTTTAATGCTGAATTCATTTAATTCATCTGCATTCTTCGTCCACTAAAACAGGTGATCTTCTGCAATTCACAGGTGCCCAGTTTGGGACAGCATCTTGGGCGTCTCCACATTCCCTGCCCCTGAAAATAGGCTTTCTAGTCCTGGTTGCAACAGCAGATCTGGAAAGCAAGAGGAAATACCCAGCAAAGGCACCACGGTTTTTTTCTTATGCGCATGGCACCTTATTAAACCTTGAAATTTGCTGCTGCAAGATCCTGTGATGACCATCAAAATTTAGGTTGCTTTAAAAGGAAGTTCATGGAGGATGCTTCCCCCCCCCCTTTGCTTAGCTCTTGACTCCTTTTCACCCACCCTAAAGGTACCCTTAATCAAAATTTGCGAAAAAACTTAAATACTGTATTCACAGTCAGGGTCAGGCATGCAAAATAAGCAAATCCATGCAAGTTCAATAACTCTGAATAAATAAATATTACTTACACAAATTATCTAGAGTACAAATTCTCAACTGCCTTGCTGGACGGCCTACCATGATGCCCTCTCTACAGTTGTCCAAAGGGCAACATTACCTCTTACCTTGATTTTTTTCCAGCTTCTGTCTCTCCTGGGGCTGCTCCTCTCTGCTCTTCACTGTAGCAGTCCCTAAGGTTTTTGGCTCGTGCTTGGCATATGTGTTGTTGCAGTTGTTGGTGGACAAGGCCAGCAGCTGGTTCTTGGAGAGCATCTTTGGACTCTGCTGGCCACTCTCCTCCTCCTGTCCTGACACACACACATTCTGGAAGCTATTAGAGGAGGCCGAGTAAATTGATAGCTCATTGGCTTGGTCCACCCGCCCAGGATCCTGGCTAGTGAGCTTGTGGCTGCCGCTCAGAGCAGCCCTCCTGTAAGGCATAGGGGAAGGATGGGCTTTTCCAGTGGTGGGCGGCGCAGGAACTCGGTAAGCAAAGTTGTAGCCGGCACTCATCTCTTCAGTTAGCTGCTGGGAAGGGCCCTGCTCTTGCTTGGTTTGACTTAAATTGTTCGTTGGCCTACGAGTTCGGTTGGAAGTTTCCACCGGCTTCTTGTTCACGGAGTCTGCGGCACCATCAGGGACCAGATGGGAAGGCAACTGCTGAGGGTGGGAGGAGGGTGCGGATTGCTTTAATGGGGCCTTGGACAGCTTTGGATGTTCCTGCATCCTGCCTTTCTTCACCAGTTGATACAGATCTACCGGCTGGCTGCTTCTGGGAAAGGCTTCTGCCATTTTGGTCACCTGATCTCTGACTTCAGAGGCCCCCTTCAAGGAAGAGTCGCTGGCTTGATTAGCGCTCGATTCAATTTCCCCTCTGCGAGGCACAATTTCCCCTCCACGAGCACGGCAGCTGCCATCTGCTCTGGGCCTCTCCCCGTTGGCCTTCCTGTTCTTGGCTTCCCCCTCTGAAGGGGAAAACGGCCTGGGATCCGGACCAGGCCCGCGGTGCTGGGAGCTTTTGACCACTGACCGTTGGCTGCTGGCACCAGCCTCCTCGCTGTCCGTCCTGTAGCTGTCCGATGTATCCGTGGTGCTGTCCAGAGCAGAATCCACCTCATCTATGCAAGTCACTTCCCCTATGTACGTCTCCTTGATGCGCTCTGTGTAAACACGCTGGCGGGAAGGAAGGATCCACAGCGGAGTTCCTTTGGGACCCAAAGCCCTGGTTCGCGAGTCCTCCTGGGTAGCGTTGAGCATTTTGCTTTCATTGGCCCGAACTAGCTCCTTGCCCTCTCGGGGGATGTTGCAAGACTGATGTACGCTCTTCGCAGTCTGCTTTGCTCCTGTATCTGGGTTCTGACTGGCGGCCAGATTCCTGACGTAAGACCCACATGCGCTGCACTTGCCTTCCTCGTTGACCACCAGAGGCTTCCTCTTCTCGGAGCGCCCCCTGCTGCCTTGCTGTTCCCAGCCGGGTTTGCTGCCGCCGCTGCCGCTCTCTTTGCGGTGAAGCTCACCGTTGATGTAATCCGAAAGGTCCGGTTTGGAGACCAGCGGCCCGCGGCCCAGAGACAGGAGGACAGAATCCAACACCCGCTTCTGACGCAGCTGCAGGCGCTCCAAGTAGCGGACCTCGGCGTCTCGCGCAGACTCATCCTCGAAACGCACTCGGGACGGGGACGGCCCTCGCTTCCTTTGCTGCTCGCTGCTGGATTCTCCGCTGGACGAGTCGCTCAGGTTGCCGCCGGCGTGGGGGTCTCCATCCTTCAGAGCAAAGTTCTTTGCGTCTGCAGCAGAGATCCCGCAGCCATCCCTGAGGCACACAACAGAGAGAGTAAGACTGTGCGCCTGTTCACACTGATCATCCTTACCTCCGACTGAGCTGCCTCCAAATGCTGGGCAGAGGGCACCACTTGGCTTACTAAGCACCCAGGACGCTTACCAAGGTGGTACTTGTAACTTCTCTACTTGCAGCAGTGTTTCTCAAACTTGGGTCCCCAGCTGTTGCTGGACTACAACTCCCATCATCCCTAGTTAGCAGGACCAGCGGTCAGGGATGATGGGAGTTGTAGTCCAACAACAGCTGGAGAATCCAAGTTTGAGAAACAATGGCCTAAGCTTATCTCCTTTCTTCCAAGAGCCGTTCAGCAAGATAAATGTATCCTGACTGCCTTGCAATTATCACACGGACATTGAACCTGGCAACTCCTTCACCAGGATCCCAATGCTGTGCCAATACTCTCTGCAGCTGCATTCTCATTCTAGCAGGAAGGGCCGCTCAGAGGTTATGGATGTGTACTGAATGAGGGGAAGATCCAAGGAACTGGTTAGGATTGACCAACAGGCTTGTGCTCTGCAAAGCCAATGGCTTCAGAGTATCAAGGCTTAGAAAAAAAGCACGTGTCAGCAAATCGGCGAGATGGATTTACTCTTTTAAAATCAAGGGTGGCTCGGGACTGGATAACTCAGCAATGATACTACTCATGCTCAACACACAGCAACTGCACAAGTAACCAGATGGCGCTATTAAAGAGGACTTGCTGATGTCAGGCCCCCGCTGACTCCTTGATTTATTCTAGTTCCCTACAGCTATAGGAAAAACTTCAAGTGCTCTCCTTACATGCTAGCCTTGGTCTTAGGAGTGGCTACATCTCCAAGTCAGATTTCAGTTAGGCCAAGACACCCAGCCGGCAGTCACGTGCGCTTCTCAGATCCATGTGATCATTTTCTATGGGATCTGGAGCACCTGTGCAATTTATATTAAAAGTGCTTTCTTTTCCTGCAGAGCATAGGAGGAAGGGTAGAATATAGATCAGCAATGCAAGAGACAGGGGAAAGTTTGCTGGTGGAGGTTATGTTTTCGTTTTACTCTAGAGATGATGTTTGATATTGTTCAGCAAACACCACAAGTGTGCCTCGATGCAAAGATCTTACAGCTGGCGCCTCTCTTGTTGTCATGAAATAAAATCAACATAATCCTCCAGATTCAATAACTCTGCATAAGCTGCCAGTGTGCTTGGCATAGGGGATGGAGAATGTGTTCCACTAGCGCTTACAATAATCTTTGGTGTGTTGGCCATGTGAGAGTGAGCGATACCCTCATCTGTTGCACAACAAAAGATCAGCACACTGCTAAACGTTGTTTAATGTTTAGCATTAAACAACGGTTTCACAGCACGGTGGCCAGAAATTCAGCTACCCATGAGATCCAGCAGCTTGCCACACATTTTGTAAACACCCATGACAAGTTATGTTTCCCCTCCTATGCTAAAAGACCTTTCAGCTGTCACAACGGTGCACATCCTTTCCCCCCCTAAATCTTATTCTAAAAATTTCGGTCAAGTGAATTTGCCATACAATATGTTCTTACGTTTATATTCATGACTACATTTCTGTACAGGAACCAGCTAGTCCCTGTTTTGGTAATTATGGATGCCTAAGTCATATCAATCGGATCATGAAGCTGAGGCTCCAATACTTTGGCCACCTCATGAGAAGAGAAGACTCCCTGGAAAAGACCCTGATGTTGGGAAAGATGGAGGGCAGAAGGAGAAGGGGACGACAGAGGACGAGATGGGTGGACAGTGTTCTCGAAGCTACCAGCATGAGTTTGACCAAACTGCGGGAGGCAGGGGAAGACAGGAGTGCCTGGCGTGTTCTGGTCCAGGGGGTCACGGAGAGTCAGACACGACTGAACGACTAGACAACAACAACAACAAAGTCATATCAATGGTGTGACTACAATTAATAGAATCGATGATTTCACGCCATCAGATGTTTGCATCTCAATCCGAAGTTATGTTTTTCATCACATACATTGTTGTTGTTTTCCTGGTCCAGAATCAACACACATTATAATTCCTGGGGCGCTCTCCTTGATTAGTTGGCACAGCACCTCACTCTGACCATAGTTTTAGACTAGGCAGTCTAACACCTTGATGAGATGAAGTAAGATAGACAATATACCTCCCCCAATGGGGGGTGGCTGACAGAAAATCCCCCAGCACTAGGTACAAATGTATTCAATGAGCGCAGCGGACAGGTACACGGTTGGCAGTGTATTGAATTTTGTGAGTGGAGAACTATAGATGCGAACAGCACAAGCGGTTTACAAGTGTGAAAGATGAAAAGGCAAGAAATGCAAAAGCTGGAATGGAGGGCTGCGGACAGGAAACGCAGTACAGATCCTTCTTTCCTGCCCTCTTCCCTGATCTGCCTCCCAGGCCCAGAGCAGGATAAATCACTGGCCTTACCTCCTTTCCTGAGGGGCAGTAGATAGGATGTTATGGCTTGCTCGGAGTGGGTTCGTCCTGGCCTTCATGCGAGCTCTCTGCAGCAGTTGCTTGGCCTGTTCATGCCTGGGACTCAGCTCCAGCTCCTGGTTGGGAACAAAGGCCCTGCAGGCAAAGCAGCAGGGAGCAAGGAAGCAGCGGAGGATTAGGAAAAAAATAACAAGGATTAAGAGTGGTTTAACAGTGACGGTGGCAGCAGTGTGGTGGGGAGACAACACACTCATGGAGGCTGGGTTTAGGTCCCCTGCAGCTGCCTGAGTTCACACTAGGTGGCATCTTTTAGGTCAAGATATAGCCAGCTTGGTAACATCCATCTCAAATCTGATTTCTAGACATGCAGCCAGGATGAAAAGCTGCAGGGAGGTCAAAGCATTTAAGGATGAAATTTGTACATTCCACTAAAAGAAGCCGTTCAATTACATATGACAGCAAGTAAAAAGATGTACTTGGTAGTTCCTTAAAAATTGCGCCCCATCCCCACCGAAGAGAGTCCCAAGCAGTCTTGAATGCACATTTTTAAAAGAATTGGGAGGCTCTGCACTACCCAAAAACACTGGAGTGGAAGACTATACATTGTTAAAAACCAAGAAACACAGAGATTGATGATGATGAGATAGATAGATAGCTCTCTAGCACATATGATGTCAAAGGCATCCTGCAGGTGTCCACAACTGGCAAATTCACATCTTCTGAATACAGCACTAGTTGTGTTGCCAGGGGCCAGCTCTGGTCTTTCAAGCACACCTGCCCAAATAAACCTGAAGAACTGAGTTTCCCCACAGATCAGGGCAAGACTAAGAAGCCAACATTCATATAATTGGCAACAGGTCTTCTCTACGAAATTGCTTCCACATTCCCAAAAGATGTCACCTCGAGACTCAAGGAGACACTCTGGTTTAAAGAAAAGGGCCAAGGATCTTCTCACTTCAGGAAGTAATCTCACCCACTCCCACAAAAAAAAGCAAGGGAGCACACTCTACATGCCTAGATGAGATGTTTTGTTTTAATTGTTCCCCTGAAAAGGGTATTGTGTTGCTCGATAAATACTGACTTGTACCAGTCTTTATTTATTTAATGAATAGCTTCCCACGAGGTGTCCCAAAGTGATTTATAACACAATAAAAACCATACAGAGAATAATTACAGATATAGAAAAAGCATAAATGATGGGTTTGTTCTTAAACAGATATTAGTATTCTGCCCTTCCTTCAAGAACTCAGAGTGGTGCCCAGAGTGGTGCCTTGGATAGCAGACGTAAGCAGAGAAGCAGTGGCTGATTCAATATTAATAGTGAGCTTCAAGGTTGAGAAGGACTGAGCAATATAGATATACAACCCTACTCACCCCGACTAGGGAGTAAGCACCATCAAATTTACTTCTGAGTTAACATCACCAGATGGGTTAAGAAGCTGCTTTATATTCAGTTAGAATTAGATTCTTGGTCCATGTAGCTCAGGACTGTCTATACCAGTGTTCACCTTTTTTTCAAACCCAGGACTCGCCATTAGAATGAGCATGCATTTGGGGACCAATTTCTTAATTTTTAAAAATGATACAGTGCTGCTGTTGGGACACACCTTAGATCAGGCAGTGACCCACCAGCTGAAGACCAATGGTCCACTGCAGAGCCTTCCAAACTTTTCACATTGGTGACACACTTTTTAGACATGCATCATTTAGCAACACAGTAAAGGGGGGGGGAATGTAAAGGACCCCTGGACTGTTAAGTCCAGTCAAAGGCAACTATGGAGTTGCAGTGCTCATCTCGCTTTCAGGCCAAGGGAGTGGGCATTTGTCCACAGCTTTCTGGGTTATGTGGCCAGCAGGACTCAACTGCTTCTGGCGCAACGGGACACCGTGTCAAGTACCAGAGCACATGGAAATGCTATTAACCTTCCTGCCGCAGCGGCACCTATTTATCTACTTGCACTGGTGTGCTTTTGAACTGCTAGGTTGGCAGAGGCTGGGACAGAGCAACGGGAGCTCACCCCGTTGCGGGGATTCGAACCACCGACCTTCTGATCGGCAAGCCCAAGATGCTGAAACCGACCCCTTTCCAGCCCTGGGAGGAGCGCAGGGAGCATTCGTGTATCACACCTACACTGTAGCTGGCACGCTAATGTGTTGAGACACACAGTTTAGAAAGCTCTGGTCTACTGACTGACAGCATCTCTCCAGCATGTCGGATCTGATTCTCTCCCAGTCCTGCTTCTTTCAGACATATCTGGAGATCCCAGGGATTGAACCTGGGATGATGTTATGGGTTTGGGGGGAGGGCTAGAATTAATCAAGGTTTGGTTAAATTTTGCCAAATGTGCAACACCCCTGGATTTACTTACGCTAACAAGCTAAGCCAGCTCAGGCAGAGCTAGCTGGATGGGCCATTAAAGGTAAAGGTAAAGGTAAAGGTAAAGGTACCCCTGCCCGTACGGGCCAGTCTTGACAGACACTGGGGTTGTGCGCCCATCTCACTCAAGAGGCCGGGGGCCAGCGCTGTCCGGAGACACTTCCAGGTCACGTGGCCAGTGTGACAAAGCTGCATCTGGCAAGCCAGCACAGCACATGGAAACACCGTTTACCTTCCCGCCAGTAAGCGGTCCCTATTTATCTACTTGCACCCGGAGGTGCTTTCGAACTGCTAGGTTGGCAGGCGCTGGGACCGAGCAGCGGGAGCGCACCCCGCCGCGGGGATTCGAACCGCTGACCTTTTGATCGGCAAGCCCTAGGCGCTGAGGCTTTTACCCACAGCGCCACCCACGTCCCTAGCAGGGGACAAAGGCCACCGGTGGCCTGTCCAGGAAACCACCAGAGTTTTAGGGTTTCAACTTTGAATGGCACAGGTTGTTGGGAGGTCCTTGGAGTTGGTTAGCAATGGGGAGGAGGAAGGGGGTCAGCGCTCCACATGAGCTAGGGATGGCAGGCTGGAACAAAGAGACCCAGAGGGTGGTTTTTTGCAGTTCTTTCATCCAAAGCTGCCCTTAAGGCAGAAACCAGACCTCATAGGATGTGAATAGCCGGCAATCCCTCCCTCTAGGTGCAGATTGTATCTATGTATAAATTAAACCACGTATCATCAAGACACCAGTGTCTCTGCTGTGCCTCGTTGTCTCCAAAGGGAGCACAGACTCTGGTAAGGGGACCTACAACCCCTGGAATCTTGCGCCGCTTGGGGATCCTGGGGTGGCGTGGAACAATCTCATGCCTGCAATGCAGCTACTCCAGCTCTGAGCAACAGCCCTTCCTCTAAAGCCTGTGCTGGATCTGCTGGTACCACCCTCTAACGCTGTGCTGAGTCCAAAGCCCCCTACCCACTCCATGCATCGCTGCTGCTGCGCCAAACATCGGCCTGCAATGGTTTTCTTTATCCCTTCCCGTCTTCTGAGCACTGCAACACTAGAAAAGGAAAGGTTTTGGGGGGGGGGTTCCACCATTTTAAAGCTTTCACTGTTTCACCATGTGACCCATTTCTCTCTGCACACTCAACATGCCTCTCGCTCAAACCCTTCCCCTATTGGTCTTCACCCTAATCTTCGTGATTATTTTAATCTGCTCACAGACTCACTTCAGCTGGCCTGAGCTTAACTCTTTCACTGCAGCCTGCACACCTCGCGACGCACACACGGAGGCTCGCATCTTGCTCTGCTGAGGTTTTTTGGAAGGAGCAGCAGCACAATGAAGCCGACTGCTGTTTTACAGAGAAACAGCAATGATGTGCAGAAGCCCCTTGTGTAATTTCAGTTCAAAATTTCCCAGATGTTTTGCCTGGGGGGCAGTAATGTTATTTTCAGCAACAAACCAACTACGATGGCCTTTAAGCAAACCACTCTCTCGTCGCATCCACAGCGTAATTTGAAGCAGCGGTTCCCAAAGTGCGGTCTGTGGATTTGTGGTTGAAGATGGGAGATGGAATATCCATATGTTCGCACTGACTTTTAATTGTATTTTTATTTCTTCCTTCGTATTTTACTGCATTACAATTTGAATTCTAGAAAATGCAATATATAAGAAATGAAAGAAGCTATAAAAATGCTATTAAAAATTGTACGCCATCTAGCATGGCATATTGCAATTGCTGCAACAGGCAGAAAAATCATTAAGTGGTCTGCAATGACCCTCATCAATATTCAAGCAGTCTGCGGGGTAGGGATTAGAACCAATCATTTAAAGCACATCTTTTCCCTAAAAGAATCTGGGGAACCGCAGATTAAATGGGAACACAAACAGCTGCAAACATGCAGTCAACTCCAGTGTGAAGTCCCAAGTTAGAAATGGCTATAAGCATTTTTGGATTGTGTCTCCTTGCCTTCGCAGGGGAATGAGGATACTGAAATCTTACCGGTAGCCTTCAGAATCCTGTAACGAAACTCCAGAATCCCAGTCTACATCATTTGCCAGAATCTCTGTAGACACAGGACAAGAGAAGTGCATGTTATTATTGTGTATACTTTAGCCACATGAAATGCAGCATGGTGTGTGTGAAAAGACACATCTTATACCGAGAAAAGGCTATTTATATTCAGTGTTCCTCACCCCAAAGATTTGGGCCCGGTGTCCCAATTCTGCACCACCCAAGCATCCTGCTCTAGGCTCTGTACAAACTTGTAAGCCTACATACCTGGTCTGCTTTTTGGGTGGGAGAAAGTAATGGGCTCTTGGTATTCTTTAGGTCCCTTTGTATATTTCTGGCTGCCTGATCTGACTGCAAGACATGGCATACATATATAGTAATTATTCCACGGGCGATAAATGTCATTGAGAAACTGCTCCTGGCCTCTCAAATCTAATGACTGTTGCACTCCGAAGACCAGAGGCCTAACTCATTTACGCACATATATGCTTGGGCTTGCAAATCCTATTAATAGTCTGGGCTCCTACTGCCCTGGGACCTCAATGTCCCTGATTATTATGGGACTTGTCCCTCCCTCCTGCTGCCAGCCAGCAGCCAAAACCTGAAGGCTTCTCTTGCCAGTGCAAAGAAAATACCAGCAGCAACTGAGGAATCCTGGGACTTACGTTCTTGAGAGAGTATGTGCTTACTATTAGCCCCAGGAAGTTGGTTTCCATTGGCGCCAGAGGAAGCTTCCTTCTTGGGGCTAACAGTAGCAGAGAAGGGGACATTTTTGCTGGGATATTGCAGGGGGGGGGAAAGGTTAAACCTATTCAGCCCCCTCTCACATGCCGTTGTTGTGACAAAAGTCTTAGCCCATCCCCACAATTACTTTTTTTTAAGACCAAAGGCAAAGGGATCTGTGGCATCAACATGGACTAGGGGCCGTCATATGGATTGCAGGGTGTAGAGAATGGAAGAACAGCATAAGCTGGGGACATGGTGGGGTGGTTGCGTCTCCTGAGGATCAGACCAAGATGTTTGGGGGAGGAAAAAGCAAGGATCAAGTGAAGAGGGAGGTGGAAATTCAGTTCTGGTGGGTCCCCCCTTTTTGCAATACTTTCTGAGCTCTTACAGTATTTCTCCCCACTACTACCCATCCAAGTTGCAAATCCTGTTCGGTTTCTGAAAACCTCTTCACCCTGCTTCCACATACCGTTACTGGGCCCATCTCTCCCACGGCCTGGGCCATCCTTCTTGTGACGACGCAGAGTATGCAGCTCCCGCAAAGAATGGCTATTAAACTGCGTCGCGCTCAACATTTCCTGCAGCATCGACCGGTTCCTCTCCACTCTCTCTGCCAGGGACAGGGTGCTGGCATTGCTTCCACCGCTGCAGAGACTGTCCCAGCTCTCGGTTCGCCAAAGGCGGCCGGTTGTTCCCGCCCCACATGCGTCATCTTTGTGGAGAAAAGGACCGCTTTCAAAATCCATACCATGAACCAGGTGCTCTTCTCTGCCGTTTGCATCCTCAAAATATTTCTGGTTGAAGGAAAGGTCCTTTAAGGAGCTGGCCCCACAGAGGCCATTTTGCGATGCCCTTTTTGCGTTTCCTGACGAGCCCCTTTTATCCATCCTGTCGCTTCCTGGAAGCCTCTGGAATGCCTCGGGTGAGCTCCAGCCCATGCTTGCAGGCTCTTCTGCCGCCTTAGACCCCTTCAGAGGTTCAAAGTTGTCAACAAGCAGGCTTGTACGTACTGCCCCTTGAGATCCCTCCTGCTTGAGACGTGGGTAGTCAGTGCTGTCCAGCAGCACATCTGTCAGGTAGGTGCGGATCTGGGCCTGAGGTTCCACCACAGCATCCTGAGGAGCAGGCTCCGTCAGCGGCTTCCCTTTCCGGGCCTTGGCCTTTTTGGGAGAAGCCCGCTCCTGGGGTGCTGCCTCCGCCTGCCTGTGGACGGCACTCCTCTTCTCTTTCAGAGCTTTAACTTTGGACTCCAGAACAGAAGTGCCCTTGCTTGAATCCCGCAGCAGCCCCAGTGGAACCCAGGATGGCCCGTTGAGACAATGCTCCCCTGTATCATCAATGTTCTCGGCGGGCTGTTTCGCTCTAGGAATATTTCTGACACATTGCTTCAAGGTGTTCAGCGTCCTTCTCTTTTCAGTAGCGAAATTCCCTTCCATGCTCCCACTTCCAGGTGGTGAGGTACCTTTTTTGAGGGGGGAAACAATAACAGACGTTTCAATACTCTTGCTGGGCAAGAGAACATTGTCTGAAGGGACTTACCAGGGGGCAGGGTTGGCTAAAAGAGGACAGGGCTCCTGAACCTTTAATAGTTATCTAGAATTGGGAATTATCAAAGGTGCAATACCTCTGTTCTCTTTTGCATCTGGCCAACCTAAGAGGGACCCAGATAGAGGGTTTCATGCTCTGCACTCAAATATCCATAATTATTCAAGATAACCAAAATTCTGCACAAAATAAATCCTGCCTAAATTGTGCAAATTTATGTATTTTGTTAATTTTACACCATTTATTCTGTTCTCTCCAACCTCGGGGACAGAAAAGCAGCACAGTGAGAATTAAAGGCCCACTCTGTGGTTACTCCCAGGGTCATATTTACTACATACCCAAATCATAATCCAGATTTTCTGTCAAGAAAAGCAGAATCTTACAGCCTACATACATTATGTAAATAGAGCAAACAGCAATTTAACATAATTTAGTCTTCAGTTTTATTATTTTGCCTAATATATTCTGGTTTTGCTCGGTCATATGAAAGTGCAAGGAGTTTTTGCAGGGCACCTGCTCATAACCACCTGGTCATTTATTCAGCCAGCACTAAGCAGCCATTCTTTGAAGCATATATCTATTAGCAGCTGAAAGAAACTTCCTTGTTTTGCAAATGAAAGCAGAGAACCTCAGAAAGGCCCATTCTGCATCCCATACCACATTTCATGGCTGGAATCTTAAATGCATTTACCTTGGAGCAAGTCTCATTGAATTCAATGGGCCTTAATTCCAAGTAGGACCACACTGCACGCTTTTACTGCATGCCTGCAGAATCACAACACACACAATCCTGATTGTTTTGCACCTCATTCAGACCCACACTTGATTCCTGAGATTTCGCAAAGTGATTCGCACACAGTATGAACTCTACCCAGAAACTTCCTTCTTTAAAAAAGCAAAGAGAGTCTTTGGAAGAAAAGATATTCCGACCAATAGCAAAAATTTGGTTCCCCCCCTTAATTTTGGCAAAATCATGGGATAGAGAAGGCCCTACTATATCATAACTAGTAGGTGTCACAGTGAGCTTAGTACAACTGTTGGCTTTCCAGATGTAAGGAATTCAGAGAATAATTTTCCATGTTCCATCACATAGAAATAACAGATAGTGCAGATCTCTCTACTAGAGAGAGATCTCTCTCTCTCTTTCTCTAGTCAGAACTCTCTGATTCGGAGAATGGCTCACAGCAAAATCATAACACAGTAAGTAGGAGGAAGAGTAATTTGGGGTCTTGCTGAGTTACTTTTCTCGCTCTTCAGGAGTGGTGCTTTGGGGCACAATTAACCCCCCAAAAAGGAACTCACCCCTTCGTAAGGTCTCATCAGCACTGGAGTTTAATGTGGATTTGAAACATCTTGTGTTTCTTTTTTTTGTCACATCTACAAAACATCCTCCTCATCCAAGCGGCAATCCACACTTTCCACCTGCTATATTTGGATTTCCTCAATCCATGGATAATCTGGCCAGCAAATAAAACGGTACTACACAACTTGCAGTTTTGATGCTACAGCACTGAGGGAGGGGGCAAAACAGGGCTGCAGGGTCACATTCTCAGCTGCAGCCCTCCCAGTTATCAACTTCCACAGCCATCTCCAACAAAGCTATCTCAACAATGTCCACAGCATGATTTAAACATCTGAAATATATTCCGGCTTGGGAAAAGGTTTGCAAAGGAGGGGGCCATGGAATAAAGAGCTTCTTTTCCCGCTTGCTGCTGTACTACTGGGTTGTTCCAGCGGCGACAAGCAGGCAAGCATGAAAAAGGAGCGAGCACTGTGCCCATGGCAACAGGCACGTTCATGCCGCTCTTTTCAAAGGCATGGAAAAGAACAGTTTCCTTATTACTTTTGCACCGTCCCAGTGCCTATTATGCACAATTTGGATTTAGAACAGGGCAACACAGTTTAACGGAGAATGTGTCAGAAGCCAATGCAAGCTGCGTGTAGCTATCCTCATTTTCAAAGCAGAGGAAACCATGGCCATGTTCACGCATCGCTACAAACCATGATTTCTGCACCGCACAAAAAAATGACGTGATTGGCTGGGGGCGTTCTGAAATACTTAATAGCTGCACCTGGACTGGCTCAGGGACACTAATCACAGCAAACCGGGGGGGAGTTCTTCCAAGAAACCACCCCTGCAATGAAAAATGCAAGACGATGGTGCTACACACCATGGGATGCTCCACATTTGCCATCCTGTGCTCCTGCCACACCAATGTGGCACACCGCACCCTTTGAGAGCCACTGCTGTAGAAAGAGCAACAAGACCGAGCTCTTGGTTTCAAATCGACTTTGTCTGATGTTCGGGACCCATCAACTTGCCTTGCCAAACCACCATCTCGCTTGCACACAACCCAATTCTTGAGCCAGCAGCTGTTGCCTCACTTTCTCCATCCGAGCCCCAGCCTCATTTGTAACTGCCACAGTAGGAAGCTTCTGCTTGCGCATGCATTCAAGTCTAGGGAGCGCAAAGCCCACAAGAGCATCATTTCTAACTACAGTACAGTCATACGTCATGTTGCGTTTGCTTCAGGTTGAGCGTTTTCAGGTTGCATCCTGCGGCGACCTGGAAGTACTGGAAAGGGTTACTTCCGGGTTTCACCGTTTGCGCACACGCGCACACAAAATGACATCATGCGCATGCGCAGAAGCAGCGAATCATGACACATGAGGACGCGGGTTGCGTTCTGCTCATGTGTGAACGGGCCTCCGGAACGGATCCCGTTTGCAACCAGAGGTACCACTGTACCATGGTAGGAAACCTCTACTCACGCATGCACTGAAGTCAGCAAGCAAGCCTAGGGAGTGCATGGCCCGCAAGAGCATCATTTGTAACTGCCACGGTAAGGAAGCTTCTACTTGCGCATGCATTCAAGTCTAGGGAGCACAAAGCCCACAAGAGCATCGTTTGTAACTACAGTACCATGGCAGTAAACCTCTACTCACGCATGCATTGAAGTCAGCAAGCAAGCCTGGAGAGCGCATGGCCCGCAAGAGCATCATTTGTAACTGCCACGGTAAGGAAGCTTCTACTTGCGCATGCATTCAAGTCTAGGGAGCACAAAGCCCACAAGAGCATCGTTTGTAACTACAGTACCATGGTAGGAAACCTCTACACACGCATGCATTGAAGTCAGCAAGCAAGCCTGGGGAGCGCATGGCCCGCAAGAGCATCATTTGTAACTGCCATGGTAGGAAGCTATTACTTGCGCATGCATTCACGTCCAGGGAGCGCAAAGCCCACAAGAGCACCCCCTGGAATTTGCACTCCAAAGAGACAGACGGAGAAGATTTGTGCTCACCAGGCCTTCTCCGGCCGGCTGCCCTTCACTTTCCTTGACGGGGAAATGGGCACGGCTGCAGCCTGCGCAACTGAGTCCGGGGCTTGCAGCCCTGCGAAGGCATTCTCCCCAAATCCATCCAAGACCCGAGAGATAGTTTTGCACCGACTGGATCCAGCAGAAGACCTGAAAGGACGGAGCAGCCGCTCAGAAAGGCAAAAGGGACTTTTCTTGAGCCCTTGGCATCCCCAAACCAGGAGTCTCTTCTCACTTCGTTCACCTCCTCATGGGCCAGTGAGAGAAGATGCTAATACAAATATCGTTTTGTACACATATATATATATATATATATATATATATATATATATATTTGCTTTCGTAGATTTTCACGGGTACAGGAATGCAGGTTTTGGTGTCCTCGGGTGTCTTCCCGTGTAAAAGTTGGGGTGTCTAGGCGACGTTTCGACGAGGTCTCACTCGTCATCTTCAGGCTGGTGCTTTCGGCTTCTTGTTCGGCTTCTCTGTTCCAGTAACAAGAAGCCGAAAGCACCAGCCTGAAGATGACGAGTGAGACCTCGTCGAAACGTCGCCTAGACACCCCAACTTTTACACGGGAAGACACCCGAGGACACCAAAACCTGCATATATATATATATATATAGATATATATATAGATAGATATATAGATATATATAGATATATAGATATATATAGATATATAGATATAGATATAGATATAGATATATATATAGATATAGATATATATATATATATATATATAGATAGATATATATAGATATATATATATATCTCACACGCTTAGGGAGCAGGGGTGCCCAAAGAAGATGCACGTATAAATATCCTTTTATATACACACATATATCTAAAAAAGCACACGCTTAGGAAACGAGGGCGCCCAAAAAGCGCGCAAAAAAAAAAAAGCAGGGCCTCAAGATGTAGGGAGGAGCACCCGGCCTCTTTCCCCAGCCAGGCAAAGCCCCCTGCGCCCTTGGGACCTGAGAGGCGGCATGGCGGGGAACGCGAGCCCGGCGCTCCCGCTCACGACTAGGCCGCGGCGGCAGGCCTCGCCGGTCCTGACTGGGCCGGCAGGGAGGCCGAGGCTCTGGCGAGGCGGCTGAGGGGGGCGAAGCTGGAAAGGCCGCTGCTCGCTCCTGAAACCCCGGAGAAGGGAGGGAGAGAGGGATGGCGGAGGAGGAGGAAGGGAGGAAGCGGGCTGGCTCTGGCTCTCTCTCAGCGGCCGCTGGCTGCCCTTCAGGAATGCGCCCTTCTCTCTCTCAGGGAGATGATGGCTGGAGTTGGAAAAGACCTCGGAGGTTGGGGGCGACGAGGCAGGAGGCGAAGGGGGGGAAGCTGAAAAAGAATTATTATTATTATTATTATTATTATTATTATTATTATTATTATTATGCGAAGTCCGCTCTGAAGAGAAGGGGGAGGCTGGATAATAATAATAATAATAATAATAATAATAATAATAATAATAATATTGATGATGTGAAGACCGCTCTCTGGAGAAGGGGGGAGACTGAAAAAGAATTATTATTATTATTATTATTATTATTATTATTATGCGAAGTCCGCTCTGAAGAGAAGGGGGGAGGCTGAAAATAATAATAATAATAATAATAATAATAATAATAATAATAATAATAATAATAATGTGAAGTCTGCTCTGAAGAGAAGGGGGGAGGCTGAAAAAGAATTATTATTATTATTATTATTATGCGAAGTCCGCTCTCTGGAGGTGGAGAGGGGGAGGCTGAAAAGGAATTATTATTATTACTGTTACTAATATTATTACTATTACGATGCAAAGGCCTCTCTCTAGAGGAGGAGGAAAAGGGGGGGGGGAGGCTGAAAAAGAATTATTATTAGTATTACTAATTATTATTGCTGTGACTACACTGCCCTTTATCTAAAGCTCCCCAGGGAAAGAACTGCCCCGAGACCTCCAGTTATAGGGCGGTATATAAATTCAATAAATAATAATGTTGGGATGCTTCTGTCTCAAACAAAAGTGGTCCTAAAAAGATGGGCGACGGCAACCTCAGGATACCGCCAAAGAGAACAGCTGGCTATTTAACTTTATCTGATCACCTGCGTTGCACATAACTCAGTTCTGCCCCCCCCCCACCAACAAAATCCTGTCTACACCCATGGTAAAGAAGAATGCTTTCTCCTTGCACCTGTAGCTATGTAATGGTAGTGCCAGGTGAGTCTCTCCGTATTTATACACTCCGAGTTTTGCTTTGAGCCGAAGTTCAGGGCTCTGCAAGGATGCGGCCTGCAGCTTTTGCATTTGTTCGTAGGACTGAGCTTCTTAAAAAAGCGACATTATTCCAAAGCATACAGAGGCACAGCTCTCTTGTTGTCTCTCTGAATATGATTATTATTATTATTATTTATTACATTTGTATACCACACTTCAGGGACGCAGGTGGTGCTGTGGGTTAAACCACAGAGCCTAGGGCTTGCCAATCCGAAGGTGGTTTGAATCCCCGTGACAGGGTGAGCTCCCGTTGCTCGGTCCCTGCTCCTGCCAACCTAGCAGTTCGAAAGCACGTCAAAGTGCAAGTAGATAAATAGGTACCGCTCCGGCGGGAAGGTAAACGGCGTTTCCGTGCGCTGCTCTGGTTCGCCATAAGCGGCTTAGTCATGCTGGCCACATGACCCGGAAGCTGTATGCCGGCTCCCTCGGCCAATAAAGCGAGATGAGCGCCGCAACCCCAGAGTCGGTCACGACTGGACCTAATGGTCAGGGGTCCCTTTACCTTTACTTACCACCCTTCATCCAAAGCTCTCAGGGCAGTTTGGGGGGGGGATACAAGATAAAAGCAAAAGAATCCAAAGACGCTCTTCTTTTGGACGTTTTCATAAGATGTGTAAGAGCTTTGAAACTGCTTTGAAAGGGATAAGCTCGAAAGCAATTTGTGATGCTTAAGATAAAATGTTAAAATTATTTATTATTTACAGAAGATGCTACCTTTCCATCCAAAGAGATGCTCAGGCTAGTGTACGATCTAAATCCTGCTAAACAATAAAAAAAATTAAAAGGCAGCAAAGAAAAGAGGCAGCAGATAAAAGACTTCCATGAACAAGGCAAGGGAATGAAAAAGAACAGATGGGGCAGGTTAAGCGCCTGCCTGTAATGTTTTTGCACAGCAGCAACAGGCTGTCAGAAGGGGCAAAAGAGGCCTCCCAGTCTCTTGACAAGGAGTTCCACAGTCCATTCTTCTCAAGTAATGGTGAGTACTGGCCCCATTGGGAAAGCTGGAGGAGCCAGGAGAGAAATAGACTGAGCAAGAAAACAGTGGAGGGGGGTGTCCATGGGATCGGGGGGGGGGGGCAGAAAAAGCAGGGAGCCCAGCATGTATGTGGAGCCAGAGCCTCCGCCCAGTATACCTGAAGAGGCGTCTCCACCCCCATCATTCTGCCGGGACGCTGAGGTCCAGCGCCGAGGGCCTTCTGGTGGTTCCCTCATTGCGAGAAGCAAAGCTACAGGGAACCAGGCAGAGGGCCTTCTCGGTGGTGGCACCTGCCCTGTGAAACGCCCTCCCATCAGATGTCAAAGAGATAAACAACTACCTAACATTTAGAAGATGTGTCAAGGCTGTTCAGGGAAGTTTTTAATGTGTGACACTTTAATGTATTTTTAATCTTTGTTGGAAGCCGCCCAGAGTGGCTAGGGAAACCCAGCCAGATGCGCAGGGTACAAATATATTATTATTATAAATGACAGGCAGAGCCAACTGTAATTCTAGTTTTGTCCCCATTTTCCAGAGTTCTACAGCACATCACTGAGCCCGAGAAGGAGGAAGCTGATTGGCAGGGCAGGGCACCAATTGCCCTAATGGACCAGCCTCCGCTGGTAGAAAGAGGTGGATCAATGGCAGCCTGGAGGCAACTAGAAGGTCAGGAGAAGAGTTTAGAGTATGAAGAGGAATGGGCAGAGCCTGTCATGTGGCAGGTTGAACTTGGCAGAACCAGAGCCTGCAGAGTCCAGAGTTGACTGGCCCATCGGAGACCAGTATTGGCTACAAAGGGTAAAGCAGTGCTCCTGACATGCCTTGCAACCGTGCAAAGTTAACAGCTCTCTTCCAAAATTGCTTCCCCCTCTCAGCTGCTGTCTGCAAGCAAGGAACAAAAGCACTGCTAAGGCTACAATTGGATGTGGAAGGAAGGGCCTTTATTTAAAGCACTTGCTGTAGAAAGAGAAAGATGAAAGCCTGCTTGCCAGGATAATCTTCCCTGCATCTACGTTCTGGTACGTCCTGAACCTAGTGAGGCTTAAGGCATAAAATCCACGTTAAAATTTGCTAGTTTTCTGGACCAATAACTCAGACTTTGAATCCAAAGACTGCCATGTGGGGTCAAGAGTCTTTTCTTTATTACTTCCAGGGAATTCATATTGATCTCTTGTTTAAATATTTCCCTAGTTGCTTCCTAAACAGCCCAATTTCCCTTGTGCACAATAAGAAGAGCAAGGCAGACAAAGCAGCATTCTGTGTTCTCTCCTGTCCAGAGATCTGACCACCCTTTATGGGCCACTGCAGAACTACAAAATGTAATAAGTAATGCTGGAGGTTTTTCTAGTTCAACTGTGATAATAAGAAATGTACCTTAAGCTATAGGTGCAGCTGTAGCCTAGGAGCCTTATGGATGCACCCAGAATATGCAGTGGCCTCGTGTTGCTGCAAAGGCTGCAAACAATAAGTTCACATAGCTTTGTGTGTGACTGAAGCTCCTTGTGTGGGTTATCTTGTAATTTTCCAGACCTCCCTGTTTGGTAAGACACGTAGCAAGCATATATGGAGGCTGGGTGAGGCTGAGAAATGTTTAGGCTCATAGAATAGGAAGGGACCCCTTAATCCAACCAGCTGCTCTATGCTGAATGTATCTCCTGTACCCCACACAGATGGCCACCCATCCTCTGCTTAAACGCAAGGAAGAGTCTACCATCTCCCAGTCAGTCCAGTGCTGAACATCTGTTACCATTTGGAAGGCTATCCTAACACTTAGCTGGAACCAGCTTGTCTTCAATATGGTTCTAGTCCTGATTTCTAGAGCGACAGGGAAAACAAGTCTGCTCCATCTTCTGTGTGATAGCCCTGCAGATTGTCTCCCCTAAATCTTCTCCAGTCCTATCTCCTATTTCTACCATTCAAAGAACATTGGTTTCCAAACCCCTTATCATTCTGGTTGCCCTCTTCTGGACATCCTTGACTTCGTCAGTGTCCTTTCTAAAATGTGGCACTCAGGGCTTTAGATGTGGCCCAGCCACCACAGAACATAGCGTAACTATTGCTTCGCCTGATCTTGGAATTACTACACTTGTGTTAACAAAACCTAAGACTGCCCCTCTATGATTATCACTGCTGGTTCACAAGCTGATCCATGGAGACTCCTAAATACTTTTCACATGTACTGCTTCCAAGCCAGGTTTCTTTCCCCAATTCCACCTCACCCTATTAATTTTTTGTTACATTTATCCCTGCTGAATTTCATCTTGTTGGTTTTGGCTCAATAGTTCAGGTTGTTGAGATGGTTTGGAATCTTTTGTTCTTGATGCGATTCTTCCCAGCGTTGTGTCAACTGAAAAGTTGATAAGCAGCCCCCTGACAAATCCCAAAATAGTGCCTTCCAGAGATTTTTGTGGACTACAATTCCCATCATCCTCAGCTATAGGGATGACGGAAGCTGTATTCCACAAAACTGGGCGGGGGGGGGGAGCGGCGGCATTATATTGACTAACCAATATTTTCTCTTCTCACAACAGGCTAACTGGTTTGAAATGACTCACACTATTTTAATGGATCTTGGGAGAAAAGCAATGACAAGCCTAGACAGCATCTTAAAAAGCAGAGACATCACCTTGCCAACAAAGGTCCGTATAGTTAAAGCTATGGTTTTCCCAGTAGTGATGTAGGGAAGTGAGAGCTGGACCATAAAGAAGGCTGATCACTGAAGAATTGATGCTTTTGAATTATGGTGCTGGAGGAGACTCTTGAGAGTCCCATGGACTGCAAGAAGATGAAACCTATCCATTCTGAAGGAAATCAACCCTGAGTGCTCACTGGAAGGACAGATCCTGAAGCTGAGGCTCCAATACTTTGGCCACCTCATGAGAAGAGAAGACTACCTGGAAAAGATCCTGATGTTGGGAAAGATGGAGGGCACAAGGAGAAGGGGACGACAGAGGACGAGATGGTTGGACAGTGTTCTCGAAGCTACGAACATGAGTTTGACCAAACAGCGGGAGGCAGTGGAAGACAGGAGTGCCTGGCGTGCTCTGGTCCATGGGGTCACAAAGAGTCGGACACGACTAAACAACAACAACAAATTTTAATGGAAGTGCAGAATCATTAAGGAGGTGGGCTCATTCTCTCGGTAGATTTTTGGCTCATAGAACCACTTAAATCAGAGGTAGAGTTTATTTCATCACTGATCCTATACTCTGCTTAAGGAAGAAGTTTCCATCTCTAATTCCTATAATTATGTAAGCTGCCCCTTTGGTTCCTTTTGCCTCCTCGGAACCATCCTTTCCAGGTAACCAAAGATGAGCCCTGTCAAGACTTTCAAACTCTCAGAACATCTTTCTTGTAAGAACTCTGCACATGTTCTGAAGCCTAAGACTACAGTACTTGGCCTGTCAAGGTTCCCCCATTCTCCTAGCGAATCCTCCAAAAAAAAGGACCGGTCTAGAATGGCTCTCCCCACACCTTGCCAAATCCATCCAAGCTTCCTACCTCCCTGAATGGTGATTGTTTATCTGGCACCTTCCATGCGCATGGTGGTTTACTGAGTACAATAAGACAGTTCCCTGCCTGAAGGAGCTTACAGTCTAAACTCCAGCACAGGAGATATAGAGGCAAAGGAAGGTAAAGAATACATGGTTGTTGCAGGTGCTTAGGCTTATTTACGCACCAGGCTACATGAGCAAGATTCAAACCCAATGCCCTCCAGATTCATAGCTCAGCTTCTTAGCCACTGTATTACACCAGCTCTCAAACCAATTTAAACTGGCTTCTGATGTCGTAACCACTGTTATTGTCCTACAACAGCCACCCTCCTTCACCATGGGCTGTGCTGGCCGGGGCTGATGGGATTTGTAATAATAAAATAATTATTAGTGCCACAGAGCAACAGCACCACATTTACTGCTCCCTCGTTAGCATATAAAAACAGCAGACAACCGCCCGTATATCAGTAAATTGCTTGCAAGTGTGGTTTTCCTTAAAGTGATCCTGCTGCTTTCATTCTGATTATGATTAGGACACCCTTGCTTTGGGGGTGTCAAATGGGGCAGAAGACCCGCCACAGCCATCCAAGTTTCTTAGCACACGTTATCTTTTTCTAACTCCCAATACAGCTGCCGAAGAGTAACACTGAAGATGGCCAAGACGTCATCTGGTGCGAAGGATGCATACATTGGATGGTGACGGATGGGTTTTGTTTCACAGTGCAAACGTGTTTTAAGCATAAGATAACCAAAGATACAGCAGGCCATCAAAGGAAGTTTAAAAATAAATAAATTATTACCCTATGATGAAAAACCAGGCAGCTTTGTTACACCAGTGTGTGGTGATGTAGAAGAGATTTTGAATTGCAGTACCGCACAGAAAATGCCAATCCAAGGTTTTTGTGCACCTCTAAATTTTGAGCTTGTTATCCTTTGGGATCAATAGAACAATAGCTGCCTATAAGCATTAAAACACTGCTTACACAAATGCCCCAGGTTACACTTACACACACACACACACACCCTCCCTTTCCTTGCTTTCCCAAATGTATAGTTTTGTCTTTAGCTTTGTTTCGGATCAGCAAACCGCTGTGGATGTTTTAAAGAAGCAATTCTTACCTGAATATTGGTCATGCAGCCATTCCAGTTAAACCCAGCAGCCGGTAAGTTGACCGGAAAGGAGAATGGGAAGAGACTTTCCCTAAATGAAAAGGAATCCTCCGCTCTTCATTCTTGCTGTGTCCATAGCTGCAGGGCATCTGTCCCAAGTCGCTGATTTAAGCTGCAGCTTTTGATATTCATGATTGGTTTCATAATCCCGATCAAAAAAGGGAAATCGCTAGGATTATGAAATTGTTTTAATCCACCCCTGCCCCATCCATGGCTGTTGACTTCAGCATCACCTTTGTCGTCGTCTTTAAGTGCTCGCCTAAACAGAAACGCCTTTATAGAAGTCCTGGTAAAGTGTACTAGAAACGCAGGGCCTGTTTTTTCCCTTTCCTTTCCTCCCCCCCCCCTTTCCCCCCTTTTCTTTTTTTTTTTTTGGCTAACCGCTGTAGCAGCAGAATGGAATGTTTCAATTTCCGGTATACTCTGCCCATTTTGCAAATCTCATCAGGCTAAAGAAAACCAAGGGCTGATTTGTCGCTGGAGTTAGCACAGAGACTATTTTCGACAGAGGACATGTGCGACCGGCTAATGGGGAAGATTGCAACCATGTTCAGAGGAGTTGTCGCTGTGTAATTTAAAGCTGGCATGGATAAGATGGTTAGTTAGACGTCCTAATTTTTGCTGCTGCTGCTGTTTGAATAAAGCAAGCATTTGGTCTTGCAATACGTGCACTGTGACTTTATGCAGCACTGAAACGTACTAAAGGGAAAAGGGCAATTATCTCCACAGGCACATCCACACACACAAGCCTTCTGGTGAATGTTATTATCCTTCTCAACCCCTTTTATCAGAATAAGAGGTAGCACCACACCATCCACAACTTTCAGAATTTTATGATTTGGCATCCACAGTGTTTCATCTACACCAGCAGGCCATTCATATGACTGAGTGTGCCTATTTTATTCATGCCTAGAACCACCACTTTCTCCATGCCTCCTACTTATGGCTTGTTGTTTTATTTTTATTTTTTGAATTTATATACTGCCCTATACCCGGAGGTCTCAGGGCTGTTCACAGAATAAAATTGAAATACAAAACCACAAAATACATAATCAAAATAAAAGCAATAACCCTCCACCCCCCCAAAAAAAAACACATTTTAAAAGAGCATAGGATCCTCACAACATTTAAAGTAACAAACCTGGACAAGAGCCACTCATTGGGAAGACCATGATTTCAGAAATGTCTGTAGCAATATTTACTGGCAACCAAATTGGCCGGGTGCCTTTCTGATAACAAAGACAAAAATAGATTTGAAATAAGAGTGGGGGGGGGGGTGAGAAATTAGCTTTGGTTGTTGAGCAGATGTAATACTAGTGCTTCATGTTCTGCAAGGGAAAGACCTGTATCTAATGTTGCAAGCGAGTCCTCTTTGCGGAGTTCCATCTTCCTTCTTCTTGGCGCTGTTTCTACCACTGATGCGCTTCCACCAGAACGTTGTTTGTCGATTCCAGGGCCACCGTGGCTTTCTGGCTCAGCCTCTTTGTCAGAGTCTGTATATCTGTCAGGGTCTGGAAGGATGCTTGGATCAAACTCATCATCACTTTCACTGCATCTTATTTATTTAGTAGATTAAAAAAAAACCATGGCCAGATCTTCTGCAGCAGCAACACCTTGGGGCGTTTTGTAGCTCTGCTCTCCTTTCCCTTGACAGGTGCAGGAGGCTGAGCAGAGCATTTGGGACTGTTGAGTGGAAGGACAAAGAGCTGAAGACAAAGAGTATAATAAGATCTGGAGAAGCACAGAGGAGGAAACTTCTCCTGGGGAACAAGAAGTCCAGCAGCTGAGGAGTTAACACACTCCCCACCCACCACCCACCTCCACCCCTGTACAGTGGTACCTCGGGTTACATATGCTTCAGGTTACAGACTCTGCTAACCCAGAAATAGTGCTTCAGGTTAAGAACCTTGCTTCAGGATGAGAACAGAAATCGGGCTCCAGCGGTGCAGCGGCAGCAGGAGCCCCATTAGCTAAAGTGCTTTAGGTTAAGAACAGTTTCAGGTTAAGTATGGACATCCGGAACGAATTAAGTACTTAACCCGAGGTACCACTGTACTGTCTTGCAGTGGTGCTGGTTCTTGGGAGTAGGGGAAAGGAAGAGAAGTAGAAATGGGGGGGGCACCCATCTCATTTTACTCCAAAGGCCTTTGATCCCTCATCTGTTTCATTGCAAGCTTCACAAATGACTCAGCCAGGGTATAAAACTGCCAGGAACTGTTTTTTCATCATCATCTTAATGGCCCTGGAACTTGCAGACCAACAAAAAACCTAGCAATAGGCTAGACTTTCTGACGTTGCACAAGTCCTTCTCCCCCTCTGGTACCGAGAAGAGGGTGGGTGTTAGAAAACAAAAAGCTGTTATCCTGTGGCTGTTCCTGGAAATAAAATGTCTCCGGTGTGCCAAACTGGGCCCGTGGAGGTGTGGCAGTAGAACACCCCCGTCCCCATATGTCACAAAATGCATCAAAAACAAACCCCTCCCAAAATGGAATACTGTAGTTCCACCTTGGAAGAGCTTGTGTTCAGTTTTCATGTCCGTACCAGTCTTAACAGTGCTAGTCAGTGGTTTTTATCTCAAAGGGGGGAAATTGGGATGTCTATACCTCAAGCATGGGACGCAGGTGGCACTGTGGGTTAAACCACAGAGCCTAGGACTTGCCGATCAGAAGGTTGGCGGTTCGAATCCCCGCAACAGGGTGAGCTCCCATTGCTCAGTCCCTGCTCCTGCCAACCTAGCAGTTCAAAGCACGTCAAAGTGCAAGTAGATAAATAGGTACCGCTCCCACGGGAAGGTAAACGGTGTTTCCGTGCGCTGCTCTGGTTCGCCAGAAGCGGCTTCGTCATACTGGCCACATGACCCAGAAGCTGTACGCCGGCTCCCTTGGCCAATAAAGCAAGATGAGCGGCGCAACCCCAAAGTTGGTCATGACTGGACCTAATGGTCTGGGGTCCCTTTACCTTTATACCTCAAGCATGATGTCACACGGATTCTTCCCCTTGAAACCTACAAATATTCAGCAAATGGCTCGTGTGGGAGTGCCCTATACAGTGGTACCTCAGGTTACAGATGCTTCAGGTTACAGACTCTGCTAACCCAGAAATAGTACCTCGGGTTAAGAACTTTGCTTCAGGATGAGAACAGAAATTGCGCAGCGGCGGCGTGGTGGCAGCGGGAGGCCCCATCAGCTAAAGTGGTGTCTCAGGTTAAGAACAGTTTCAGGTTAAGAACGGACCTCCGGAGCGAATTAAGTTCTTAACCCAAGGTACCACTGTACTGCCATCCTGCAGAAATTCCCTACAAGTTTTGTTGTTTATACTGACCTCTTCAGTTAAATGCATCAATGCTTGGCAATTCATCCTCCTCGAAATAGCCAATGAAACCCTTTGCTTTTGCTCCATTATGTTCGATCAAACAGAACTGGTTGTTTCAGCTGCCAATCCTGCACCAACCCCTTTCCCCTTGGTCAGGCATAGGCAAACTCTGGCCCTCCAGATGTTTGGGGATACAATTCCCATCATCCCTGACCACTGGTCCTGTTAGCTAGGGATGATGGGAATTGCAGTCCCAAACATCTGGAGGGCTGGAGTTTGCCTGTGCCTGCCCATGGTGCAGAAGAACTACAGTGACATTAATAGCGCATGTGCAACACTCCTTTAAAGCACTCTTGTATTACCTTGTAAAGTCAGGGCTCCGCCCTCCCCACCAAAGAATCCTGGAAACTTCCCTGGATCCTTGGGAACCTCCTGCTATAATGGTGCAGGAGTGCTTTAAATGGAAAGTGTGCATGCGAGCTCGGGAGGTTTGCTTTCACAGCATTAAGAAAGAGAGAATGAGAGGCAGATTCAGTCCACGGGGCGCAGAGCAGCTCCCATTCACATTAGCGGGGCTTGCGAAGCAGAACTTTCCAGAGAACTGCACTCATGTTCATCAGTTGCCACTCCATTTTTCTACTTCAGGTACCAAGAATTATTGGGCCTGCCCTGCTCACTGAAGTTCAAATGACAAGCAACTTGCAGGGCAACCTTTGCAATCTGAAGGAGGAGGGAGCCTTTTGCATTGAAACGCACGATGTGCAATCACCACTTTTGATCGTGCTTCTTATCCCTGCCCCGTACAGATCCTTCCTGCAGCCCAGCTGGTGCCAAACGTATTGCTCTGCTCTGCTTTGGACCACATCAGTGAGGCTGGGGGGGGGGGGAGTCTTGTCGTCTAGGCAGCCCAGAACTGCCACACACACTGTCCAAGGAGGTCCCTTTGGTGCTGCTAATGGACTTCACCCCCACAGATGCACTTCGTTTTTTCTCGAGACAGATGGGTGCCATCGAGAAGTGGGGAAGCAGTAACCTTGCTAGCACTTAGAAATTCCCCATAGGGATTTAATTAAGATGTGACACGCGTTGTTTTTCGGGAGGGCAGTGGAAGAGCATCTGCTTTGTATGCAGAAGACCCCACGTTCAATCTCCATCTTCATGAAGGGTTGGGGAGTCCTCTGACTGAAACGTGGGAGAGTCACTAGCTAAAGTGTCTTGACTCAGAATGAGGCAGCTTCCTAGGTGATATCAAGTTCTGTTTTTAGCTAGTATTTAGGATTTTTTATTGAATGGTGTATTCTTAAATGTTTTTATATAGAATACTTAGGTTTTCTATTAAAGCAGCATAAAAACTATACAGTGGTGCCTCGCAAGACGAAATTAATCCGTTCCGCGAGTCTCTTCGTCTTGCGAAGCACGGCTATTAGCAGCTTAGCGGCTATTAACGGCTTAGCGGCTTTAAGAAAAGGAAACAAACTCGCAATAACTCGCAAGATGTTTCGTCTTGCGAAGCAAGCCCATAGGGAAATTCGTCTTGTGGAACGACTCAAAAAACGGAAAACCCTTTCGTCTAGCGAGTTTTTCGTCTTGCGAGGCATTCGTCTTGCGAGGCACCACTGTATAGATAAAACAACAGGAATTTATCCAATGTAGGGTTATCTGAAGTTATCTGAAGCAACAAAGCTGTATTTGAAGGTGTTTCTTTTCTTGTCCCCAGGTCTAGAACAGTCTATTCCCAGGTAGGTTGCGGCCAGTGTTATTATCATCTATATGTTCAAGAACCAAGTGGTCAAAGAGGGTCAGTTACTGTGCACAAAATGCAAAACAACGAAGCAGGCACGAAGTTATTGGAAAACAAAGCTTGTAATAATGAAAAAGACAGATTAATAAACCAATCACTTTTTTTCCTTTTAAAAACACAAACCACATTAACTTTTTTTTTTATACAACCATCTAGGAACTATGAAACAGTACCACATTGTGCATTTTTTTAAACCTACCTATCAAGAAAGTTAATTCCACACTTCAGAAAAGTCTTATATCCATTTTGGGGGGGGGAGGGGAGGAGAAGGAAACAGCTAATAGCGCAATCACGGATAACATCATCATGAGTCCAAGCAAGCGGCAAGTCTTTGTCCTCACCTTTTCCACTGAGCCAAAACAGGAGTGGAGAAGGGGATAGAGAAAGGAAGAAAGTAAAGAGAAAAGCACCCACAAGAGGACTAAATCACATTCCATAGTTACTTTTGACACCTATAGCTCAGGGCTTCAAACTTTATATAATCATCATGTAGACCAACACACTGGAAGGGTGTAGAGGAATGGGAATGAGGAAGAGCAGGGCAAAGGTGTGAACGAAAAGTTCGTTGCCACCTCCAAGCACCGTAAGAAGAATCTACACAGTATAAAGCTAAATAGGTTGGAGGGGATTTATCGTATAGATTGGTAAGCAGGCTCATCCACTAGCCTGTATGGGCACGAGAGGATTACATTTCCAGTCGAATTATCAACCCTGCAGCTCCCTTTACCCACAACTACTCCGGCAGCGCAAAAAAAGAAAAAAAAACTTTTCTCAATCGAAGGCTTGGGTTTGCCAAATTACACACCCTGCAATCAGAAACTGTAAGCACCCTGGTTGCTTTTTCATAGCGCTACTGGAGTAGTAGGTTCATCAGTCTTGCCCCAGAATGTGTGACATCTCTTTGGGCTCGTCACATTTATGGGGAGAGTTTTAATAGAAGAGCGGCAAAAAGACACTGGACACAGATATTAGCATTATGGAAATGACCCTTCCCTTCCGGATCAATGAGGTCTTCCTCTCCTTTCCCCCTCTCATTAGCCAGCTGAGCCCAAAGCTCCAGTATTTAAGGCCAAGCAATTTCTTTCTCCGCATGGCTGATCAGCTGCTTGCAGGTGAAAAGGATATATCAGTTCTGGTCAAGCAGAGATAGGGGCCTCATAGCCCTCTAGGTGTTGTTGAACTCCAACTCTCATCAGCCCTACACAAAATGGTCAAGGGATGATGGGAGCTGTAGTCCGGAAATACCTGGAGGGTCATGTTCCCCACCCTGCCAAGTTTGGTGCTCATAAAGTATGAGGTCTGTCGTCACAGTAAAGGGGTTCAGTTGCCTTGTGTAGCTGCAACAGACACTGCTACCCCACCTCCTGCCAGCAACCAATCACGAGAGGGGCAGTTTGCAATGTCTAAAATTAGGCATTTTAATTTATCCCTCGGATGAATCTCAGAAAACTTTGGCTTTCCTCAACATTCTTATGGGAGTAGGGGATTATCACAGTAGCAATGTTGCCCCCCTGGAACACATCTTATCTGCCCCAGTTTACTTATGGCAATGAAAATCTGTGGCCCTCCTTGGTAATGTTTCCATGCGAAGGAAAACGCACATGTTAAAACCGAATCATTTGTATCTTTGGGAAGATCTAGATCAGTGTTTTCAAACCTACCCTTTGTTGAACCTCGTCGCTGTGGGTTTCCTGTACTCTGCATTTGGTTCTGGGGCATATGCTTTAGGGGACAGTTTACAATGGATGTTGGCAAGGAACGCTGGACCTCCTGTTGCCCCATGTAACCGCTCTCAGCAGCAGTACACTAAAGAGAAATAATAGCTGACAAATTCTATTTCGAGGAACCATTCCTGCAACTACTGACTTTCTACTTAAGGAGCACCAGTGTTCCAAGAAACACAATTTGAAAGCAACAGAGCTTCTAAACAAGAAAGAAGTCTGTCCCCTGTTTGGGCTTGTTATCAGTGTCAAGTCCTGACAAACAACAGGCAGTTTGTAAGGGAGACTGGGCATTCCTACCCCTAGAATCCAGAACCACAGAACTTCTCCTGAATACAAGTGGAAAATGCAGCACCAAATGGAGATATGCTGCTCATTTTTCTGCAGAGCTTGCTTGCTTGTGGCAGTCAAGAAAACTGATCAACAGGGATAGCAAGCATGGTCTGAAAGATTATCAAAACCTACCTTTATTGTATGAAAAAAATAATAATTGAATCCTGGTTCTAGAGGTGCAGGAAAATTCCTACTGCTCTCCATGACCTGGGAACCACCATGGAGAAGGAGGGAAAGAAGACAGCTGGGGGTCCTATGATTTGAGACAAACCTTTCCTCCGTTTGCTCAAACACAAGAAAGCGGGAAACCCCTTTTTAAAAAGGAAAGCCAAAGTAGCAAAGTCTTTCTGCACATTCTCACACAAGATGCTTCTAAAATGCCCATGGTAGGCAGAAGGCAAATATCACTAACCTGCTTTCATTTAAGCCACATACTGTATCTCGATTTTTCTAACATAGCTCCACCTAAGAAAGTTGCAGAGAGGAAGACCACCCTAAGTTTAGAGGCTGCTGAAACAAAAGCTAGAGATGAACAAGCTTCAAAGACAGCCGAAAGTCATTTCTTGTTCCTGTGTCACCTCAGGCTTAACATGTTTTACCAATTAATAAAACCCTTAGACTGCTGATTAGAGGTGGAAGTGGAATGAGTAAACACACCAGAAGCAACATTCTCCTAATGTCCTTTTTTTTGGGGGGGGGGAGAACCACTGCATGTCTCCATCAAAAGACAGCCTTTTCAATTCAAGAAGGAGGAAGCTGTGTCCTGGCAGTCCCAATATTCCATCTTTAAATTTAAACCAGCTGGTTTTTTTTAAAATGAGGGGTTCAGGGAACACCACCTTTCTGGCACAGCTGTGGATCCCACTCTGCACTGACCGCTGTAAGAACGAAATAAGAAATTCAGAGAAGAGGCTCTTTTTAAAAACGATTCCAGAAGCATGAGTGACTCATTTCAAAAGACCTGAAGCAGGAAGTCAAGGATCTTGTCCACAGTTAGCCTAGCATGCTTGATATGTAATCTGGAAAGGAATTCCAGTACTGGCAAGACCTGCAATCTCCTAGTTCGTGTGTTACATATAGAAATCCGAGTTAGTACTGAAACTCCCATTCTTTTTAAAATCCATACTGGAATGGAATGCCCAAGGCATTACAGCAACTAAACCACCGCTGGAAGAAAGACTGTAAGGGCTTCCTGGTAAAACCTGCCACTCCAAACAGTAGTCTTGAATTTTGCCTTCTTCTGAGAACGTCATTAATGTTGGGAGAGTGAAGACTATCCCTCTGTATCAGAATCAAATGCAACAATGCAATGCCCACAAGAATTGATTAAGGGTTCCCATAGACACAAGGTCTGGACCAGCTGTGCAGTCGTTTCCAGATAAGCTGGATGCATCCCGCTGCTAATAATAGCTTTTTTTTTCAGAGTACTGATAGCAGCATAAAAGGGGCACTCTTGCCTGTGGCACGTTCCATTCCTATTATCACCTCTGGTGAGCAAGGCTTTTCAAGTTTTTAATGCTGCAGAAACCCACAAGGCCAGTTTGGCCAGAGATGACGCTATGACAAAGCGTAGAAAACTTTGCATGTGCTCCTAAGGCCAATGACGTTTGCCAGACACTGTTTTCAGTTCTCTTTATAACTATCAGCTGCCTCCAGATAAAGCCTTTCCCTTCATCCTACCTGAGTCCATGGGCTGCTGAGAATTCTCCAGCGACTGACTGCTCCTCCTACTCTACCCTTGTACTTTCAAACCTCTCTGCCAAGTTCTTTCTACGCTAGCTTAAGAAGCGTTGCATTGCTTTGGGAGGTGACACATGATTTGCTCAGACCAGCATCCCAAGGCTACGTTGATCCTTTCGCGCCGTTAATCTTCCTAACTTTTATAATTAGTCACCATTATTCTCAGACAGTCAGCGGTAATTATCAGTTAACAACCAGATTTCTGCATAAAAAAATTAAAAAATCAACTATTTTCGTAAGTAAAATACAAACAAAACAAAGCCGACCCCTGGAATAGAAAAAAAGAGAACAAAACAAAAACCCTTGAAATATCTCAAAGGTTCTCCTTAATTGCAAATGCATCTTGTCTGAGAAAGGCAGCACGGCTAGGCTGGAGCTTCTGAACCCCAGGAGGACATGTAGGGTCTATTGTTAAAAACTGTTCTCAGAATTATTTCCTCTTGGAGTAGCTTGGTTTTCGAATACCAAATGGGCAGAAGAACTCACACTGCACAACTCCCATGTTTTCTACCAACGTCCACACACCTCTCTCCCTGGCCATCCATCATGTTAAAATTTGTGGGGTTTTTTTTGCAGTTCTCCCAGCAATTATCTTGATAGGCTAAAGCACAATACAAGTGACTGTGATTCTAGGACTCACTCTTCTGCCTGCTAAGAGGCCCTAATTTGCAGCCACTGTTTTGCTGACTTATTTTGCTCTGTTGAAGAGTAGCAGATTCCAGTCTCTAGTTCCTCTGGGATACAGGCACGTTATGAATACTTTTTTTTTTTTTTAAGCCACAGTTGCCCTACAAAATGAATGGCTTGAGAAGATAAGTGGGCAATAAATAGGTAAGCAGGGACACAATTATCAACTAAGAAAAAGGGGGTAAGGATTAAGGAGGAGGAACCCTCTTTGCTTAAAAGTGTGCCTCTGATCTGCAGACTCTAGACGACTCCGCAGGAGAAAAGGAACTAGCAAGAAGTTACAACCTGAAATGGCTAAAAAAGAGAGAGAGAGAGACAACACAGTCCTTGCTGTGAAGTCTTGGAATAGAGACAGAGTTCAGGGAAATTTAGTAGCTTCCCCACTATATGGTGTTGACCTCACATACGCACACACTGTGTAACAGAGCACAAATAAGATTTCGTTTGCTAACATTAAGCACAAATGCGTGGCATACACAACAAGGCTTGCGACTACGAGGGGTGGATATGGTCATCTTAAGACATTCATGCTGCTCTATCCTATGGGCTCTGGAGGCCAACGTGGATTAAAACAAAATCAAGCTGGAAACTTTTCCTAAAGAATTTTCTAAACTGTATGGCCATCTACCCTTACTCCCATTAGCAGTGCCACTTAATATAATACTTGCAGAAGTCAGGTCTAACACTAAGCTTGGCAGGATTTGGGGTAGATAGGTTAAAAAGAAAAGAAAGAAAAGAAAGCTAACCTGAGGATGTTCTTGGCCAGTGATTGTCAGAAGAGTATTTGCCAAAGTATGGCAAAAGGTTTTTTTTTTAATTATTATTATTTTTAAAGCATTAAAAAGCCCTTTCTATTGCAATACCAATTTCCGAGACCACAGTCTCCAACTCACCTAAGTGACAAGGTCTTGAGTGTCTGCCTAACCCCCATTTGGATTGATGAAGGCATCATCCTGTATCCCCAACAAGGCAGACCATTTCTTCACTTAATCCCAAGTTTCACTCCTATTATGTAGCTGAAGTAAATGGAATAATGCATGTATCCCCTGTTTAAAAGGGTAATGTCCTAAAGACTCAGCTCATTAAAGCAAAAAACTTTTCCTAATCTACAAACTAAGGCTTTTTTTTGCACGGGTATCTGAGGAACTGCACGGGATTAACCTCCGTCAGAAAGCTGAAGATCATTTGTACTACTTCTGCACAGCTACATTTAAAAAAACAAAAACCCAAAGAGAGACAAGGATGATCCGGCTAAAATCATGCCCAGGTTTCTGAGGGACCAGCGGCAGCGGCAGCAGCAGCAGCAAGTAAAACCCACAAGAGAAACTTTGGTTTAAAAGAAATCAAATGGAAAAAGAGAAAGAAAAAGTCAGGTCAAAGCGGTGCAAATTCTCTCGTCAAAGAGGTATTTTAAAGGGGCGTAACCTCACAGGAAGAGAGATTCAGGATCTACGTCCCCTCCCCCCCACCACTCGCCTTGTTTTTAAGAGAGCTACCACCTTCATTGCACAGGACTCGAAACCATTCTCTTATATAGTTGTCAACTATCATAAATAATGTGAAAACTATGTGCAACAAATACATCGTATTTCCAAAAAATTATAAGAAAGTCACATCAAATTAAAAAGTAGCTTCATGAATGAAGGTACTGCCCTAAGTGCACTTTCCCGGCAAGTGCAACCAGTGCCTTGGTGCTGGGTTATGAAGGAGGAGAACACCAAAAACCAGAGCATGAGCCAGAGTTTAAAATGCAGGTCCAGCTTCAACCCGTCAAAACTGGACCGAGCAGAGACTGAGTGAGTTCTCGGTAGAGTCCCCTCGGGGAGTCCCGACGATGCTTCCTCATCGAAATTGTTATGTCCTTGAAGCGATTGAAAACAATCTTTAAGACAGTTCCTTCCATAAGTGTCCCTCTGATTGGCAAAACGAAGTAACCTTTTTATTTTAAAAACAAGAAATCAAATTAAAACCAGAAGAAAAGAAAAGGAAACACAGTGAGCTTGTTGGAGTCCATAGGATCCGGTCCGGAAGAGCTCAGAAAGTGTGTTCAGATTTTTTCTCCTGTTTTCTGCTGGAAATATACCAGAAGTTGGGTTGTTGGTGGTGGTGGTTGTGTGGGGCGGGGGGCAGGGAGAAGGTAGTAAAGCGAGAGAACACAAGGGATGCGGAACTTGGTTCTGTGGACATTTCATGTGTTTGCTTCGTCATCTGTGTCTTCTATTAACACCTTGGTGTCACGAGACTTGGACCTGGGAAAACACAAAATTAAATACAGCTGAAGAAAAAATATATAACACAAGATAGAGACTTTGTTGTCTTGCATGAGGATAATAATTACCGTATTTTTCGCTCTATAAGACGCACCAGACCACAAGACGCACCTAGTTTTTGGAGGAGGAAAACAAGAAAAAAAAAATTCTGAATCTCAGAAGCCAGAACACCAAGAGGGATCGCTGTGCAGTGAAAGCAGCAATCCCTCTTGCTGTTCTGGCTTCTGGGATAGCTGCGCAGCCTGCATTCGCTCCATAAGACGCACACACATTTCCCTTGCTTTTTAGGAGGGAAAAAGTGAGTCTTATAGAGCAAAAATTACGGTAATTCATTTTTTATTGACAGCATCTGTGTTTGATTCCACAACATAAAGGTTCTCTGGTTGGCTTATAGTAAAGCAGTAAAACACAAAATAGGGATTTTATGCACACTGTCTAATTTATAGAGGTCTAATGTGTGTCATCCTTACTTCTCAAGATCAGGAGCTAAAGTTCATGGAGGCTGGGTGCGTAGACTAGGACAAGGGTGTCTGAGCAGGTTAGGTGGGGGAGAATACTTTTACTCTTCAGCTACACGTAGACTCTACACATTTTGCGGTCTCTCTGATCAGAGCTCTAAAGTCAAACTGCAATCAGGCCTCTGCCCATAATGTGGGTAAAGGTTGCATATAGCTTGGCATTCATACACTGAATCTACCCTGCCCTAAATGCTGCATCTTTGCTGCTCAGACTGTTATTGAGCTTCACTGATCTCCAAATTTAAATTTATTAGAACTTCCAAAAAGCCAGGGATATTGCCTTAATCACAAGGGGGGCGGGGTTTGGAGAAAATTAGAGCAACAGGCTTCTAAAGCACCACTCAGTACAGACAACTAATTCTTTCATTATTATTATTTTTTTAAAAGGGTGGTGTTTCCAGTTACTGCCAAAGTGCTGATGTTAAAAACATAAAATGTGGTAGGTACTAAAACCTGAAGATCAAAAGTGACCTGATAGGTAGTTATCAGAAGGACCTTGCTCTTGAAAAAATCCTGCTTTTCCCTTATGTGTTGCTCACAATCTCCCCCTTTTCTAAATTTTGATTACTCACCTAGCTCTGGAATAAAAATTGTGATCACGTCTATTGGCAGTGACTCATAATCAAACAACACCTGCATAATTTGTTCAGGCTGTCCTCCTTAAATCGGCCTGCCATGAGCAGATTTTGCAGTCTCTTCCTAAAGACTGTGCTGAGCAGAAGTATTGTGCAAGTACACTTATCGAGTCCATTCACATTGGCAGTAGAGAAGGATCTGTCAGCCATGCCTTGCAGATGCAGTATAAGTTTGCTTAGGGCACATCGACAGCTTTGCTTGTCCCGTGCCTAAAAAGCATGGGTCTGAGTGGCTTTCTCCTTCTCCTGCTCTTTTCCCAGGGAAAAGCAGCTCTTTAGCTTTAAACTGGAACAACGCAGAAAACCTGGTTGCCATTTGCTCTTTTGTTGTTGTTTAGTTTTAGTCGTGTCCGACTCTTCGTGACCCCCTGGACCAGAGCACGCCAGGCACTCCTGTCTTCCACTGCCTCCCGCAGTTTGGTCAAACTCATGCTGGTAGCTTCGAGAACACTGTCCAAACATCTCGTCCTCTGTCGTCCCCTTCTCCTTGTGCCCTCCATCTTTCCCAACATCAGTGTCTTTTCCAGGTAGTCTTCTCTTCTCATGAGGTGGCCAAAGTATTGGAGACTCAGCTTCAGGATCTGTCCTTCCAGGGAGCACTCAGGGCTGATTTCCTTCAGAATGGAGAGGTTTGATCTTCTTGCAGTCCATGGGACTCTCAAGAGTCTCCTCCAGCACCATAATTCAAAAGCATCAATTCTTCGGCGATCATAAATTCTTCTTTATGGTCCAGCTCTCACTTCCATACATCACTACTGGGAAAACCATAGCTTTAACTATACGGACCTTTGTTGGCAAGGTGATGTCTCTGCTTTGTAAGATGCTGCCATTTGCTCTGACTGAGCGCTAAAGAGCCGTTTCCCCCGGGAAAAAGCAGCGGGACAAGGGGAAGTATGGACAAGCCCTCACTCTCATTCAAAAAAGGAACAAATACGTACTGGGAAGCAAGACGCGGTCTATGCAAGGACACACTCTGGCTACGCTTCCAGGCCCGGTTTTTCTGACGATTCCGGACACCATCCTCCTGGTCCATCATCTGTTCAAGCAGGGTCTGATCATCTGCGTTGAGTGGTGCCACCGAGATGTCCCGGACAGCTCGGAATTCACCACAGTTGTTCAGGTGCTCATTCTCCAGTCGGAAGAAATTCCACACAAATCGCCTGAAAGATACAGAACCGTAGTAAGCGACATACCGTATTTTTCCGTCAATAAGACGCCCCCTGTTTGGGGGGCCTCAAAATATAGAAAATAGGGAGGATTGAGCTTTTGGGGAGGATTATTTTGGGGGAATGCCGAAAATCGCTCACCCGCCAGAACTCAGAGCAGAACCGCACGCGTCGCTTACAATTGCCACTTACAATCTTAGGCTTGCACTTCGTTCCAGCGGGTGAGCGATTTTCGGCACCCCCCCCAAACAATCAAGCAGCCAATCGCTGCTTACAATCTCAGGCTCGCGCCAAAAAACCATTCGTGCCTCCCCCTTCAGCACTACCCGTGTATAAGACGAGCCTAAATTTTGAACCTCACTTTTGGGTCCAAAAAGCTGGCTTATACACAGAAAAATACAGTAAATGCATTGTAAATGCAAAAAGCTCCTAACAGCTGCTAAAATCTAAAAGCCATTTGTGAAACAAAACTTCCCTCTCTTTCCAAGTGGGTGGGAACAGAGGAAGACCACCAATCCTGGGGAACTTTCTGCACTAAATTTACAAGTGACTGATAAATGTCATTAATGGACAGTCTCTTTCCCCCCCTAAGAGCTAAGTAACTTAAGGATGTCAGACACTTGAAAAAAGCAAGATTTTCAGGGTTTCAAGTTACAAGAAAGGAGATTCTGACTAAATATCAGGAAGAACTTTCTGACTGCAAGAGCTGTTCGACAGTGGAGCAGACACTTCGGGGGCTTGTGGACTCTCCTTCCTTGAAGGTTTTTAAACAAAGATAGGATAGCCATCTGTCTTGGACGCTTTAGTTGAGATTCCTGCATTGCAGGGGGTCGGACAAGATGGCCCTTGAGGTCCCTTCCAACTGTATGAGTCTATGTAGGAAGTCTTGCACACTTCCTCACAACCAGCTTGTCTCGTGGGACCACTGCAAAGATGAGAACGACCGCGACAATGGTACAGTGGTGCGAGCTCCTTTGAAGAAAACTGGAAATGCTAGAACGGCAAGTATTACTGAATACGGGTGAGGAGGGTCTGAACTAATAAATTATTACTTCCCTAAAGGTAAAGGTAAAGGTACCCCTGCCCGTACGGGCCAGTCTTGACAGACTCTAGGGTTGTGCGCTCATCTCACTCTAGAGGCCGGGAGCCAGCGCTGTCCGCAGACACTTCCGGGTCACGTGGCCAGCGTGACGAAGCTACTCTGGCGAGCCAGAGCCGCACACGGAAACGCCGTTTACCTTCCCGCTAGTAAGCGGTCCCTATTTATCTACTTGCACCCGGGGGTGCTTTCGAACTGCTAGGTTGGCAGGCACTGGGACCGAGCAGCGGGAGCGCACCCCGCAGCGGGGATTTAAACCGCCGACCATGCGATCGGCAAGTCCTAGGCGCTGAGGTTTTACCCACAGTGCCACCCGCGTCCCATATTACTTCCCTAGATAATCCTAAATTGGCCAGCGTGACAAAGCTGCATCTGGCGAGCCAGCGCAGCACACGGAAACGCCGTTTACCTTCCCGCTGGTAAGCGGTCCCTATTTATCTACTTGCACCCAGGGGTGCTTTCGAACTGCTAGGTTGGCAGGCACTGGGACCGAGCAACGGGAGAGCACCCCGCCGCGGGGATTCGAACCGCCGACCTTTCGATCGGCAAGCCCTAGGCGCTGAGGCTTTTACCCACAGCGCCACCCGCGTCCCATAGCCAGATACAAAAGATCTGGAAGTCTCATATCTTGACTGCTGACTTGACTTTGATTGCCACTACCTGTATTTGTTTCCTTTCTTTTTTTTGTTTATTTCCATAAAACCGCAAGACTAGTCTTTCAATGTTTTGCCCTCCGCCTACTCTCAGCATGAGCCAGCAGGCCAGATCCTTAAAAGGGAGGTTTGCCTGGCGCCATTGTTACATATCTCTAGGTGCCAGATGAAAACATACCTTTTCCCGTTAGGGCTTTGGCTTTAATTATCTATGACCTTTTTGCATGGTCGGGGTGTTTTAGTCTACTTCTAAAAAACAGAATTGTTTTTCCCCCACAGTGGTGGTTTTAATGTAGGTATGTATATATGTGCACATGTGCTTGACTATTCTAAGTTGCTTTGAGCTGCTGTGGCAAAAAGGGCAACTAATACATTTAATAAGTAAGGAATAATAAAAATACAAATTCAATTACGATGATGACAACAGGTGTGGGGGGCAGGTGGGTGTGGTTTGGGGGAAATGGCCAGAGGTTCCCCACCCCAAATGATGTGGAGGTCACCGAGCAGGGGAAAGGCTGTGATCCAGGAACACACAATTATAACTTCACAGATCCTGGAGTGTTCAGCTGGGAGATTTGAAGTTTTTGACTCTATGAGGTAATGTATCACTCACTATTAATTGCAAACAAGGTCTGCAACAAGGTGGATAAAAAGCAATGATTTTTTAAAATAATAATAAAAAATCAGATTTTTAAAATTTAAATTGGATTTTTAAAATTTAAATCGGATGTTTAAAATAAAATGCTTTTGGAGGAAAAATCTTTCTAGATATAGTTTTCTATTTAAGTTACATTATAGTCCAAAGGCTATTCATCAGGAAATAAGGATTTGTTTTAAGTTTTTCATGTGTGCTAAAACTCATCTAAGATTTTTTTTTAATTGTTTAACCACATCAGTTAACAAACATGGATATGTATGCTATAATGTTATTGTTTTAGTTAAATAAATTGTTTAAATTGTTATTAAGGAAATGTTTATTTTTCTCCTTCCAATAAAGTACAGCAGAAAAGTTGTCCAAATATAAACAGTTAACTTACTAAACCTCACAATAAATTCTTAATTATCTGTCTATGTATTTCTAACAGTATAACCAAATCAGTAATTTTTGATATAACTGTAAAAACTGCTCTGAAAATTTATACCAGCAAGAATGAGTCTTTCTGTTAAAAAATGCTTTAAATCAAGTCTTAGTGACTAGTGATTTAAATCAAATCCACCCTGGTCTGCAAAAACTGGGGTAGTAGTTTAGGTAATGGATCTTACCGGAAAACCTCAAGTGGTGCAAACACAGTAGCGATGATATCCCCGGCGTAAGGGTGGATTGGCATGGAAGTAAGAGAGATCTGGATAGTCCATGCAAAGCGCAGAATCACATCCTCGACAATGGCACAGTAGTAATAGGCCTGAGGAAACAGATGGAAAAGACCGCTGTAATGCAGAGCAAGGTTATCGGCCAGATCCACCTTCAAATAAAAGTGTAGAGCAAAAGAAGAATCCAGCCCTTGGATTTGCTTACTCTGTATGTTCAGTGTGGTTTCTGTGCAGACTTTTGTCTGCATTCTATATTCCCATATAACATAAAAGTATCATCACAAAAAAGCGAGATAAACAGCTGATTTGTCGAAGGAACAACATTACACTAACAACAGCAGCAGCAGCAACAACAGCTTCATTCCTTAAGATTTGGCAGCGAGATGGCATGCTTCTTGATTGGCTGTTTTCCAAATACCCTGTTGCCAGAGAGTACAGTGCTACCTTGGTTTACAACCATAATCCGTTCCGGAGGTCTGTTTGTAAACCAAAACAGGTTGTAACCCAAGGTGCGCTTTTGCCAATGGGGCCTCCAAAATTTTTTGTTCGTAATCCCCCCCCCCAAAAAGGGGGGGGTTTGTAATCCAAAAAAAGGTTGCAAACCAGGACACGAACTTCTGGGTTTGACGTGTTTGTAATCCAAAACGTATGCAAACCAAAACGCATGCAAACCAAGGTACCACTGTACTTTAAAGGTTTTTCAGCCTGAGGACTGCATTCTGGGGAACCGCATGCCAGTGGTGGGAGGAGCAAAACATGTAAATGATACCTTTGTAGAGTAAGCTAGTCTGTACACACATTCATCATCATCATCATCATCATCATTTATTATTTATTGAATTTATCTACCACCCTATACACGGAGGTCTCAGGGCGGTTCACAGAAAAGATCAACACAAAAACCACAATATATATAATCAAAATAAATATAACAACCCAATACCCCCCCCCCAAAAAAGAGTCACATTTTAAAAAGGCATAGGATGTCAATGGATTCAACACACTCTTCGCTCTCCTTCATTCAGGCAAGCTAGTTACATGATCAGAGTTCTAGAATGCTGTTCAGCCAGGCAAAAATGATCAAGGAGGGTGCAAAATAGGACCAGTGAGGGGCATGGCTGGGCGTGTGAGTGGACTTGTTGGAAACCTGGTGGACTGCATTTGACTGCATCTGTAAGAAAACCATTGTAACTATTAACAACAGATGGCCATGACCATGGTTTCTGTCTATACTGCCCATGCCTGGTGTTGGGCAACTAGTTAGCTGTGAGGAATACAGCACACCTTCCCTGAAGGAGGATGCTGGTGCTGTGACAACTTGAAAAAACTGCCTCTCGCCTATGTGGGTTTCTGTGTACGACATGCCCCCTTGTTGCTGTATCTAAAAGCAATCACTTACCAGGCAGCCCCTGCTCTCCTATCAGACCAACCAAGACCCAACCTGTTTGTCTTTGGGGTCACAACCTGCCACTGGTTCTTACTTCATGTCAACCACAGGTAAGTGAGAGGGGAAGAGAGGCAAGAGAAGAGCTGGACAGGAAATTCCCATATGGCTCTGTCGCGATGTGTATGTACAAACAAGATAATCTTGTAAGGGCTGAAGTGGTGGGGGAGAGGGAGGGAGAAGAATAGAAACAGATCCCCCCCAATTGTTCCAGTTCTTGCTTATGTGGATACAGTGGTACCTCAGGTTAAGAACTTACCGTATTTTTCGTCCCATAGGACGCTCCGTCCCATAGGATGCACCTAGTTTTTTGGGGGGAAATAAAGGGAATTTTCCCCCCTTTATTTCCCCCCCAGAAGAAGGTTGGGGAAACCGAACCAGGTCAAGGAACAGCGGGATGGCGGCACTGCGCCTCCCTGCTGTCCCCCAAGCTTGTGGAGCTGGCCGATGTCTGCCCAGCACGAGGGGCGCCCTGCTTCAGGGTGCCCCGCCCGCCGGGCAGCAGGCTGCTATCTGCAGCGTGGGGAGCCCTGCAGGGACCTCCTGCAGGGCTGCCTAGGCTGCGGATGTGTTCCCGAAGCGCCGGGAGCTCTGCTTTCAGGGCGCCCAACGCTCCGGGAAGCAGGTTGCTATCCGCACCGACCCCTCTCGCTCTCCAAGCTTCAGCAAAAGCCTGCATTCGCCCCATAGGACGCACCCAGATTTCCCCTTCATTTTTGGAGGGGAAAAAGTGCGTCCTATAGGGCGAAAAATACGGTAATTCGTTTTGGAGGTCTGTTCTTAACCTGAAACTGTTCTTAACCTGAAGCACCACTTTAGCTAATGGGGCCTCCTGATGCCGCCGCGCCACAGGAGCCCAATTTCTGTTCTCATCCTGAAGCAAAGTTCTTAACCCAAGGTACTATTTCTGTGTTGGTGAAGCGTATGTAACCCAAGGTACCACTCTATATCCAATTATTGACCAAACAACAATGTATACACTGAATGTGTTAAAAGTTACATTGTTGTTGTTGTTTAGTTGTTTAGTTGTGCCCGACTCTTTGTGACTCCATGGACCAGAGCACGCCAGGCACTCCTGTCTTCCACTGCCTCCCGCAGCTTGGTCAAACTCATGTTTGTAGCTTCGAGAACACTGTCCTGCCATCTTGTCCTCTGTTGTCCCCTTCTCCTTGTGCGCTCCATCTTTCCCAAGTTACTTTATTTTAGCTAATTCTCTCCTTCAAAGGCACCTGGTTTTTTTGTGACAGCTCCAGTGTTCAATATGGGTGGGATTCATTTGCTCAAATGGATGGCATCACAAGCAAATGCCCTCAGGGTGTGAAAGTGCCAACAGTTCAAATCCTCCCAAGTTTTCAAATAAAGATCTTCACAAAAGCAACCTGCATACGCACCTTTTGTGGGTAGACAATCTCTTCCCGCAGGAAAGTATTTTCGCCAGCATTCCTGTCAAAGAGACCCCAATCCATCTTCAAGTCCCAGATGAGGGTGTAGCAGGAGCTGACAAAATAGAAGACGATCCACAGGTAGAAGAACACTTGGGAGTCGCTGTGTTTTCGAGCTGCAAGAAAGAAGAACAGTGTCGCTGTATAAAAATGAGCAGACCATTCAGCTGGAATGAAGTTTAGTTATGAGCTTGGATACATCTGGGAGCAAGCTTAATAGCATTTTACACAAGGAGCACAAAATTATGTCATGAATTTGAGTAACACTGATGTGAATTTTGACAGTATCCGTTTCTATGAAAATATGAATAAACAGTGTTCTGAAAGAAATTAACCCGAAACTTTAAGAAAATGCAGGTTACTGAAAGGAGGCCACTTTCGTATTGCAAAAAAAAGGAACCCCAACGGTGTCTGCCCCACCTGCCCCAAGACTCAAGAGTATGATGGAGGCTTATTTTTTGGAAATAATTCAGTAATGAATAGAGTAAATGTTATCCATTCTTTTGTATGACTACTTTGTAATGGTTACTGCTGTGTAGTATACACATTTCTTTCCCATTTTAAATGGGATTCAACTGGCACCCTGCAAATGACAGCAGTTTCATTTGAAATCTTATGAGATGATTTGTTCTGATATGTCCTAGCTTTTAAATGTATCTTTTAGGTAAACAAATGGATAAAGAAGAAAAACATGAATCCATGTTGTCTAGCACAATTAGGTGTCTAAGATGCAAGGTCCCAGTTCAAAACCCTGCTCAGCCAGGAGCAATGTCCTCAAGCCATATTCTCAGCCGAAACTTCCTTCTGCAATACAGAGATAATACTGGACTACTTTGCAAGACTGATATTACTGGAATGCTGATTCCATTTTATTTAATTGGTAAATTTAGTAAGTTCTCCTGCAGCATAAGGTTCGCAAGGTAGAGGACACTTGTCTCATGCACTATGAACTGAGCTACCATCAGCTTTCTTCCTTTTTTCTTTTCTTAAACTTTTTTAAACTAAAGGTTTTCACACAAAAAAACATGCAAAACAAACGAGGTGAGAATACACGAAACACTGTATAGGGAATACATCGTTAAGGTAAGCAGACCACACAGGATCATGTAATTTAATAAGGGGTGTTCATGAGACCCCAGAGGGCAGATGGTGCTATCGCCACCTGCCTGACTTCTGATGGTGGAGAGATCCATTGCTTAACATATGGTTCTGAATAACCTCAAAACTCTACGTAAGGACCTGTAACCCCTAAACTCCCTATATTTCAGCCCCAAGCTTAGTGATAGAGTAACTATGGATGCATCAAGGTCTCTCTTCTGGAACAGCATGTAGACATCATGCTTAATGAGTGTTACTTCAGAGTGAAATACCCTGCAGGATCAATAATACTGGCTGCAGGATGGTTTGTTCGTTGATGGATGTGAAATGCTTTGAGCGTTTGGGAAAAACTTAAATCTGAATTACTTTTATTATTATAATCACTGACAAGGCTGCCATTCACATTTTGCCCAGTAGATGGAAGCATATGCTTTTGCACATAGGAAAATGCAGCAGCAATGTTCAGTTCAGAAAATTTCTTGAAGTAACAAAAATGTATTAATTCCACTGGCCAATTCTAGTGTAATGAAGGGTAGGTTATACAGGGTAGTACTTGAAATCTGCCTTGCTGGGGTGGTGGTCGGGGAGTCTTGAGCCACCCTCGGAACCTGAAGACAGATTGATTGTGACAGAAGCTTGCACTTTGTAGAGTCTACTTCAGATGTAGACCAATATTTTACAAGTATTAAGAAAGAAATATGTGTAAATGCCAAAGCTGGGCTAGCCTATCCCAGCTTTTCCATCACTTAACACATGGTTCTGAATAACCTCAAAACTCTACATAAAGAACTCCAACCTCTAAACTCTCTATATTTCAGGCCCAAGCTTAGTGCTCTAGAGTAAGTCTGGATGCATCAAGATCTCTCTTCTGGAAAGACACTTGTTTTTAAAGACATGTAGGCAAACTCAGTGTCTCAGCTTTGATGAACAGAGGCTAAACATTGATGAGTGAACAAAGACAGTGAAATCTTGCTGACATCTGAAGAGGTCCTGCACAAGAAGTGGCGTAGCGTCGGTTGCTGATGCCCGGGGTGGGCAGGGGGGGATTTAAAACTAGAAATTTGAAGACAGCCTGGAATTAAACCTGCTCTAATCAGATCTGCTACCGCCACAAGGTCCAAGCTACTACAATATAAAGCTTATAAAACAGACTAGTTCCTGACATGTAAAATAAAATTCAGGTTCCACAGAACTCTTCATCAGGTAGGTGGAAGAATTAGCTAGTTCTCCATTACACAGTGAGATAATCTATTCACAGCCAAGCTTGTTCTGCATATAGTTGAAAATCACTTTACTAATCTGTCTAAAGGTTCTGCAAAGCAGCAAGAACACTTTAATTGTACTAACATTTGACTTGCCCAGGGGCTCTTCCACAATATTTAACCCCTGAGATGTTCATTTTTCTCTGTCAAATAAATTTATTGCCCACCAATCTTACATTCATGATAGCAAATCATGCCTCCTAGCAACTTCTCAACACTAGCAAGGCCTTTGAAGAGAAGGCTTATTAATCTAGTTGCAAGCATGCGCACAAAATCTCTAAAGAATAATTCTAGCCATGAATAAGGAGAGACAAATTCTGCCTAATTCAGTTTCTCTCTGTTCATTATCTTCAGTCTTTAATTCAGTTCCTCACATTTCCGCATCAGTTTGCATTTTTTTAAAGGCCCTTGTAAAAATGTGTCAGCACTTTAGCAAACATTTCACCTAATACACACATTTTTGCAAGCAATTTTCCCCAACGTAAAACATTTGCGTTATTTGTCTGTGTGTATGCATATGCATGGGGACGCGGGTGGCGCTGTGGGTAAAAGCCTCAGCGCCTAGGGCTTGCCGATCGAAAGGTCGGCGGTTCAAATCCCCGCGGCGGGGTGCGCTCCTGTTGTTCGGTCCCAGCGCCTGCCAACCTAGCAGTTCGAAAGCACCCCCGGGTGCAAGTAGATAAATAGGGACCGCTTACTAGCGGGAAGGTAAACGGTGTTTCCGTGTGCGGCTCTGGCTCGCCAGATGCAGCTTGTCACGCTGGCCACGTGACCCGGAAGTGTCTGCGGACAGCGCTGGCCCCCGGCCTCTTAAGTGAGATGGGCGCACAACCCCAGAGTCTGTCAAGACTGGCCCGTACGGGCAGGGGTACCTTTACCTTTATGCATATGCATACTTTCCCTTAATATACGTATTTTTGGACACCTTTACTGAGTTGGGGAATGAAAATTTTGGACAAGTGCAAGTACTGAAGGATCAGTGGCGGTCTTTTTAATCGGTTTTCTACCTCTAGGTTCTGTGTGAATCGCAGATCTTTCGTTCAGTCATTCCATTTTCTGCCGTGCTTACACACTGTTCCACATTTCTGGCACCACTTAGGAACGCAAGATCCCATCTACTCCAACATCCTGTTCTCAGTGTGGCCAACCATATGCTTATAGGAAGCCCCAAAGCACAACAGCACTCTCCCCATGTGTTCCCCCGTATCACCTCCAATACGTGAGGTAGCACATAGTTATCATAAGCAGTAGTCATTGATAACCTTGTCCTCCATGATTTTGTCAAATCCTGTTTTAGAGCAACCCAAGCCGTAGGGCCATCATTCCATCCTGTAGTAGCAATTCCCATAATTTGCCTGGTGAATATTTGCCATTTTACCACGCGGCTGCAGCTATCGAGCTACAAGAGGATTCCTCGTACCCTATACAAAAAACTCCAGTTTTTTTTCTTTTGTTTAAGTATTCCAAACGTGTTTACAGTATTCCTCCAACCTCCCAGAGCACTGCAATTACCGTACTTTTCCGTGAGTAAGACGAGGTTTTTTTACTCTAAAACAGTGTTTCCCAACCTTTTTTGGGCAAAGGCACACTTGTTTCATGAAAAAAATCTTGAGGCACACCACCATTACAGCCCCGTGACGTCAGCGCGCAGCGTCACGCCGGGAGGGACATGAATTGCTAGCAAATTACATAATCACCTCCTTGAGGGCTGGCTCATCTTCTCCGAAGGCAGAACCCCATTAATTAACAGCACAGACTCACACCATAGCCAAGACGAGGGGGGAAAACCTCAGTCATGCACAGTCATGCACATGTGGGGGCTAAATGAGGACGAAGACCGGGCAGAGAGCAGGGTTCAAATCACCCCACCTGGCCAGGACAATCCCTGGGTGCTCCCTTGGGCCACTCGCCTGACCCACCTCGCAGGGCTGTTGTTGCGAGGATAACACGGGGAGAACCACGCGCGCCCCCGGGAGCTCCTTGGAGGAGAAAGCGGGCGATGAATGCAATGCACGAAATATATGAGAGGCGACCAGGTTTTGCAGGTGAGGGGCCCCCGCCAGCCTCCGCTTCCAACACCCGGCGCAACGACGCCGAAGTTTTCCCCCGGGCTCGGCTCGGGGAGCAGCGCTGCTCCCCCCCGGCTCCCCTTCGCCCTCCCGGCTCTCTCTGCCGCCCACTGGGGACCCCCCTCACCTGCCAAGTCCGGAGCGCCGGTGGAAGTTGCATGCATGCATGCAGGGCGCCGCGTTGCCATTGCATTGCACTGCACTCCATGCAACGCCTGCACGCATGCATTGCCTTGCACGCCCGCCAAGGGGTCTCCCCGCGGTCCGATGCGTCCCCTCCGGCGCGGATGCAGCATTGCAAAAATAAAAAACCCCCGGCACAGCCCTACCTGGGGGGCAGCCTCCGCCTCCGCCGCTCCGCCTCCGCGGGGATCCCCGGGCTCCATCCTGCCGCCCGATCTCCGGGGGGCGCAGGCAGGCTGCGCGGGGTCTGCGCGGAAGAGCCCCTGCCCGCCCGGCCGCCGCCGCTGCGCTCATTCCATGGCCGGGAGAAGAGCGCTTCAAACAAAACGCCCGGCCCGCCAGGCCACGCTGGGAAACGTAGTTTGCGCACCCCGCGCGGGCGCGGAGCCCAAGGGCAAGGGGACTACGGATCCCGGCAGCCCCCGCGCCGGGGACGGAGGGGGAGAGGCCGGGTGCAGGGATGGAGGGACGGGTGGGCGAGCGAGTGAGTGAGTGGCAGCCGCC